AGGCATCGTAAACCGACATTTTAATCTTAAATCAACCAAACCAACGTTATTTCAATGTTTCCTTGCTTTTGCAGCAATTACAAGATCTCAACTCATTCATGCATTTAAAAGTTGAGAGCTGACTCACTCAGGTCCCTCGCTATGGCCTTAGAATCTACAAAGTTAACATGCCTTATCGAAGCAATCCTCGCGCACGAACTAGAATTTTCTAGAAAATCCGGCGTCCTTGCAATGGCCTGCTCAGTTAACAAGCCATCAATGCTCATTTAAAGTATCTATCTGCATTTATTTACTCACCGATTATCAGCTAATTTCCAGATTCCATTTGACAATAAAAAGACAACACCACTAAATATCTTCTGGGTTTCCTCATTTCTGATATATACTGTCTGCCTAAACGTACTTTCCTTAACGAAGTACAGTGATAAGTTATGTGAATAAAATAAACATTACGGGTAATCAGCTAGTTTATAAACGTTGCAATATTTTTTTTCAATTTGTGTAAAGTAAATTTTGGCGTAAGGCAATTTATTTCTTTGGGCTCTAATTGACGTCACACTTACCCAGACCTTCGTTATTAATCTTATTGTGGACATATGTTTTAGATTTTTTGTAGCTTCAGAAAGGAGTTTTTTTCTGTCAATTTCTTCAAAAATCAAGCGTTGCTTTAAAGTGATCAAACATTTTAAAGCGCAAATCATTTGGGTATTTAAATTGGTTTGTGGTTAACCGTGTTTTACTAAAACACAATCCATTAGAATATACTTTTTTCATCGCACTTTCAGATACATTTCCAATTAACTTAAAGTAACATATGTGCAATTTTCCTCAGATTTAATGAAAACCTCTTGCATATTATCAATGTCGTCTTTGATCTAAACTACTATTTATATCATTCCCCATCCCTAGTACGCACATAAACACGCTGCTATGCTTGAAATACTTCATTACTGTGGGGTGCACAACGTTACCTAGGATGAATAAAGGAATCTCTTGCACACTCAAACCGTCTGGAAGACACGAAAGTGTTACTTGTTGCGTAGAGAGCACGTGCGTCTTGAGAACACCCGGCCAATAACTAATAGCCAGCGGTGTTTCTAATACTCTGTAAGTGAAGGTAAGCGGATTGGGTAAAACGACGGAAATGCTTACTCGACCAGGACACTCAGGCTCAGCGGTTAAAAACGTCAAGTACCCTACATTCGGTGGAGCAGTTTAAGCTCAGGTTACGTGGCCTCAGTTCATGAATCTCAGGTGACGAATTTAACCGCAAATTTTAGCTGACTCACAATAATGAGATTTTGAATGACTAGGTACATTAAAAGAAAAAGCGGGAAAGAAAATGGCGCTTTCAATTCAAGAAAGCTGTAGTGGACGTGGTCCCAGTCCATTAATTAAAGGAGTTTTAATCAATTATGTGTGCTTTAATTCGAGGACAAAAAAGTGTTAAAAAAACTCATTTTGAATGTGGAAGTATATTTAATTTTGAATCGAAATAAGTTAATAATTTTAAAATCAATGACCTTGAAGTAAATAATTACATAACCGATTAATTATAAATCCTCCGTCGGAATGAGAGCATTTTATTTACCGAAACATTTTTTTTATTCCACTGAATAAATACGTTATTCATTTACCTGGGCATGCAATGTATGTCTATTTTTTTAACAACATGTTCCACGAAAACATAAAACGTAAGACGACTGCTTTGTGAAATAATCCATCGATGAATTCAATTCTAAAAAAATTACTTAAGATAATGAAACTGCTATTACCAGTTTTGAAGTATAGAATGCGGTTTCCCTAGGTTATTTAACAATTTAATTTTACTGTTTATGCTTAATAATGTGTTACTTTTAGACTATGCATTCGCCTAGCTTCCTAGTCAATTCATTTTGTCTAAATCGAGGCAATCCTCTTTTTGGAATTCGCGCGTTACCTCTGCATAGCTTAAATTAGAAAGTTCAGTCGTACGTGATTTGAAAACATGCACATTGTGTATGCAAATGTATAATATGTGGTGCTTTTATGATTCTGCGTGTGTATGTGTGTCCGCGCGCACACACTAGTAAGGAAGCTTCTGCTTTCTTCAATTGCTGAATCATGCAGCACTTGCAATGAACGACCCATGGCGGTCGTAAGGTGGTCGGTAATAAAGACTTTATTTGTTTGTGAGTATATTTGATGACTAGGTTTGTAGTTAGGTGATCTGTGAGTGTTCTTAAACCAGATTCATCACAACTACCTATATTTGTTTTCATGTCGAAGTGAGCAATCGCTATTTATTACATTAAAATGAAGTCTTGATGCAATCGGAGTATCTTTCAGCCTTTATTGGTTTGGATACACCAATGATTCCATTTCACTTTACTACAATAATTGATTCGGCATCTTGTAGGATAGTGCCTTATTTCTCAAATTAATTGAAGTTCAAATCAGCCAGATGATGAAATGTGCACCTTTTATGCATGTTTGATTTCTCTAAAAAGAGCTTCCTTTGCGCATACATCGCCTACAATTTGTCTTTCTTCTCCATCAATAGTAGATATCATTCTCCAAAGTGAAAAATAACTTCACCGTGAAGTTCGGTTTTTTTAAGACGAATACACTAGACCTGTAGTGTTGCAAATCAACTACAGGGAAATGCAAATGAAAAATAGTCATAAAATAAAATGCAATCGACAAATATTAGTCTTAATCATAGTTAACGGCGTCGGAATGGCATGAATTAAAGCCCTCTGGATTTGACAAAAGTAGAGCAAATTTTGAAGCTTCAAAATATTTTGTGACTAAGCTAAGGAAAGTAATTCCCTACCTTTTATTCCTGTTTCATTTGTGGAGCTCAAGATGAAAAGAAATTATTATGGCATATGTAAATTAGAATCTGTGACCTTGTGAACAACTGTGCGATTGCACAAAACACGCTAGTTCTTCCACTAATAGGGTAAATTTGAACATTTGATTGATAGGTCTACCATTTAAAATAGCTTTATTCTACAAATTGTGACAGAATATGAAGTTCATAATGACTGGTTTAAGCTTTATTTAATAACCAAGGCAGTCATTTAGAAATATGATATGAATTTTTTATATTGTAAAACATTTGAATTTAATTTTATCTGAAATCTAATCAGTGATGCCAATGTTTACGCACTAGCAACAAAGTGGAGGTGGGAATGAACTGCGATTGATCAGAATAAGAGTATGCTCACAATTAACAGGACCCCTACGTGACCTACAGGAGGAAATGGAGATGACTCACCTGTTACGGTGTCCTGCCGTTTGCTATAAACAAATAAATAAGTGCTCATACACTAAAATATATATTGGTTAATTCATTAAACCGTCTACTGAGATAAAGTAAATGAACATGAATAGGATTTGTTTTTTTTTGTAATAATGTGAGTTTATATTTTTGACATTTGAGTGCTTTGTATTCCCTTTTATTGAGGTCTTTAATGTTACCATTTTTCGCACTGTCAATCAGAATTATTTACTGTTTAACATTTGACAAATTATATAGAATCAGAAATGAAAATAACTGCTTCACGCGACCAGCAACGAATGTTTGGAATAGATATCACAGGATAATACTTGAATATTTTTTTAAAATGTGCTAAAGAATCAACCCACACATAATCCTGATGTAGACAAGAATGGTTGACCGAACTTCACTGAATCATGGCTAAATATACCTGCCGAATGCCCCCTGAGCAAAGTGTAAAGAAACTGATATGAAAGTAGGGGTCAATTGCAATGGAGTCTACTATGGCCAGAAAAAAGTTTGCATATTAGGCGACCTGATCAAATTGGAGCACCCTGGCCATGAAATTCGAGTTTTGTCGACATTTATTTATATCAAATAGCAGGTGTTTTGATAGCTATCATTAGCCCTTTAGTTGATTTCAGGCTTCATAGAGGGGGAGGAACATCAAAGTGAAAAAGTCGAGAGGGCGAGGGGAGGGGAACAGAAAAGTGTTTCAAAGATGTAAAAGAGACAGACACAAAGGTAGAGTGGAAAGGGTGAGGTGAGTACTGTGGTAGTAGTCGAATATATCATAGAGTGGGGTGATGGTAGTTTGAAGTCAATAGCCAACTGCCGAATAATAGACTTTCGTCGTATGAGTATACATTGACCAAGTGCACCACGTGGAGGTAAGTCTATCGCACATAGTTCAAGCGTTGTTGATAGCTTCAAGCATTCTGTTCCGGAATATTAGTTCTTCCATTTTATTGACCTATGTTCGTTTTGACACAAATTTGCGTTGATTAGTACGATTTTCTTCCAAATAACAGGACCATTCTGTTTACAGTAGCATAATTAACTAACGGTACGACATAATATACCCTCAAATATCTCGAAAAATTGAAATAATAAAACATTCAATTAGAAATCTTTGAGAGTAGAAATCAAACATTTTAGGATACAGTAGTTCAAATCTCATAGTCAATTTGTTTAGGAATTAGTAACTTAGATATTCTCCGATGACCCTTCGCGTCTATTTGCATGAGTCGAGCTTCAGATATAATTTGTACATTTTCTTTTAGTTCTCTAAATGTAAGTTACACCAAAAATATGCCTACAGGAATTTAAGCATCTCAGTATCCTTTCTAAGTCAGCTGTGGCTTTACCTAAGTCAAACTGATTAAGTGACATAAAAGATAGAAAGCACAAATATTACAAAATATTAGCTTTTACTCGTATTCACCAAATAGTCCATACTTGTGTGTATTACAGTGATTATATTTAAGAAAGCGACATCATCCACACTTTGTTGGAAACCAAAAATACAATATATATGCTATTAAGTAAAGAAGTGAAGCAGAAACGAAAACGTTTATGAATAAAATCTTCTTATATAATAAAAACATTGCAGTATAATGGAAAAATTTACTCATTTAATAAAAATTTCATAACCCCCATGGTGAATTTAAAGTAATTTAGGTCGATCGCGCGTCCTTCAACTTCGCCTGAATCTCCCTTGACCATTCCTGACAGGATGTCCGGTACTCCCGGTTCTGGGTCTGTTGGTTCATTAAATCCTCAAAACGCAGCCGCCGCCATACCACCTGTCTCAAATCCTAAAAACAAGGAGATTTACAAGTATGAAGCTCCCTGGAATATCTTTTCCCTCAATTGGTCTTTACGACAAGACAAACGCTTCCGCCTTGCTATAGGCAGTTTTATAGAAGAATATAATAATAAAATTCAAATTATCACTCTCGATGAAGATCAAGGTGAATTTGTTGCTCAGCAGACTTTTAATCACTATTATCCCGCAACAAAGGTTATGTGGATGCCAGATATGAAAACGAATGCTCCTGATCTTCTTGCCACAAGTGGTGATTATCTTCGTATCTGGAAAGTTTCGGAATCTCCTACCAAGTTAGAATGCACACTAAATAATAACCAGTCTACTGGATTCTGTGCTCCGCTTACTTCTTTCGACTGGAATGAATCAGATCCTTCAATTATTGGAGCTTCGAGTGTGGATACGACGTGCACGATTTGGGGATTAGAGGTATTGTGATAGAGAATCATTTCCATATCCCTATGTTTAGACTCAACAAGTTATTGGGCGAACAAGGGGAGTTAGTGGTCATGTTAAGACTCAAGTTATCGCTCATGACAAGGAAGTATATGATATCGCGTTTAGTCGAGCGGCTGGTAATCGTGATATTTTCGCAAGTGTTGGTAAGTTACTTCCTCTTTGTAACTCTATATTCATTTTTTATAAAGATATATTAAATCGTATTTGCTTAAATTAGGTGCGGATGGATCAGTGCGCCTATTTGACCTTCGAAATCTACTGACTTCCACAATTATATATGAAAATCGTAATCGAACCCCCCTTTTGCGGTTAGCATGGAATAAGCAAGATCCCAATTATATTGCAACCTTTGCTTTGGATTCAAAGGAAGTAAGTTTATTACTACTGCTCGTATTACATTCATCACTGTTAGTGTGACCGATTTGATAATTTGGCTTAAGAACTTATGATCTCTTCTACACTAAAACTATTTATGAATAGTTAAAAATGATAAGATTTTTGGAGGTATTTGATTTCCATCTAACATAAGGTTTCTACAGCAGAATCAATTTATGATTTATTTTATTAAAATGGTTATCATTAATATGCGTTTTCCATTCGAGCAATCGTTCACATATAGTGTTGTTACCTGTTTTAATTAATTATCTAGTGTACTTTTTTGTTTTGCTTTCCTGGTTCCTCGTCGTTATTAAATTTGTCACCTAATTGTGCCTATTATTTCAAGGTGCTTTATAGGAGTTTACACTAATGGCGCGATGGTCTGCAAAATCAGATGTCACGAGTTCATCGCTGCACACCTAGTGAGCGGTGTGCCCAAACACAATAGTTAAGTTTGACTAATAAAAGGAGGCTGACATTGTTCGAGTGCCTCACTCCAGTGGCTTAATGATGTGCCATTCCTTAGCCCATGTGGGTTGCAATAATTATAGGAAGTTTTGGACCAGTGGGCATTGTTCTTCAGGCACAAGCATGTGGGTTAATCTGATAAGTCTTTGTGAATATATGAATATTAATTGCTCTTCCTTCAACTGTGAGCAAAACTTGTGATCTCAATCATTTGTTCATTTCCTCCTATCGCTTGTTTATGGGGACCTAATGTTTATTCAATTTCTAAATTGCATTTCCAAGCCTTTCTTTAAAGTCAAGTCAACTTATGTGGCTTTCCATCCCTTTAAGTGTCTGTCATTTCTGCATTTTGCTAAATCTTATTTATTTTTCCCTTCCTTGAGTTATATTTATTTTTTTCTTCATTTGTTTATTCCCTTGGCGTTTTTAGTTCATGATAGTTTCCTTCTTTTGTACCTATATTGCTTTATGGTGTTTGTTTTTGTTGATTTCGTGTACGATTTGCGCTCGTTAGAATAAATTAGTTTAATGACTTTAGTGGAAGTTAGTAGCCTTCTCGACCTAGCAAAAAAACCCTGGATTATTATTCCGAGCAAGTTATACCACTTGGAATATTTCTAAATTATTCCTGTCGGAGATCACTGTATATTTTCGTTATCTTGAGGAAGATTCGCTCTTCTTTTTCGTAAAAAGGAATTTGGACGATTAATTGTTCCAAACTGTTAAATATTACCCTGAAATGCCATTGAGGGTTTATTTTCAATTTGTACTATAATATATTAATAGAACATCTTCAACCATTTCCAACGCACGTGTTAAAGCTGCTACCGTTATATTTTTACCTTCAATTTTCTGTTAAATTCTAGGTGACAATTTTGGATCTCCGTGTGGTCTCTACACCGATGGCGACACTTGACAACCATCGGGGTTATCTTAATGGTCTTGCCTGGGCTCCTCACTCAAGTTGTCATATCTGCACCGCCGGTGAGGATTGCATGGCTTTGATTTGGGATATCCAATCAATGCCTCGGGCCATCGAAGATCCCATTTTGGCGTACACAGCTGCGGCCGAAATTAATCAAATTCAATGGAGTGCACTGCAACCTGATTGGATCTCTATATGTTATCAGAACTGCTTGGAGATACTACGCATATAATTGGAAAGTCGGGCTGTCATCTCTTCTGCTTACGCATTCACTTATTTCCCCGTGTTTCTCTAACTATTACCAACCCTAACCGTGATGATTTTCTCATTTCACCCGAAAGTTTTATCTTCGGTTTGCCTAAATTTGTATATGTTGATGTCGAAAGTTTCTTGTTGGGACTATTTCAGACACATGTAAATAAATATTCAGTCTTTTCTTGGTCTAACTGCTTCCGTTTCTAATAACGAGCCTCTTGGTTGGGTCCTCGTACTCAGGTCAAAAGCTCAGCTTGTGTATGGCACAGGTATTGCTTTTCCAGTTTGCTATGGCTATTGGTTAGTCCCAGTTACCTGATTGGAATGAGTGCTATTGTAAGGTACCCCTTCAAATGCTTCGTTAACGCATAAGAGACTTAGTTTAAAAGCTGGAATGATAAAAAGAGAGAAGTTTAGTGAATAAAATATTGCAGCGAAAGAGTGGACAAAGAAATGAGATTGAATTCAAATTTGTGAAATAAAATTTATTCCATACTTCAACATTACTATGTTATGTGATGGTCGATAATTCATAAGTTACCAATAAATTAAAACCAAAAACTCATTAACAATGTTATAATAAGTTCTAAATTAGTAAATTCAAATTCAGTCAATTAGCCTACAAAATATTTTAAACTTATACTTAATCAATTATCTTAAATTATCAACAATTCAATGATAACCTTGACGTCTGGTTGAACTTTACCCCCCTTCAATTTTTGCCCTCATAGCCGACTGCAATGTCTAGGTTTTATGTGAATTCTTATTTGGAAAGTCCAAATAAACTCCCCCATGTTGATGAAGTATTTTTTGCTTAGTATATTATTTATTTGCTAGATAAACACGTCTGTACAACTGAAAATTAATGAAGCTATAATTGAATTATGCAAATATTTTAAGAGAAATATTGAGTCTCTTAATTATCGCGATCTGTCAATGTATACGGGACTATCAGGTAATCGATACGGTTCCAAATTTTAATATGCTCCTCTCAAAGGTATTTCTTTCACTGGTATTAAGTTGCAGAAACATTTGGAATTATGTGAAGACGATAGTGTTCGTGATTTTATCAAATTTACTAATAATATCACTATCGAAGCTTTTAATCGACGAGATAAATCACGCTTGTCAGAAGGAATCAGTACTCTAACAAGCAGTTACACAGCGCCATGCCTGGTTGCTGCACTTTCAGGTTTAACTGGAGCTTTGGATAAATTTTGTCAGTCTGGACGTTACGTAAAATATGACATGCCTGATGAACCTCTTTATGGTCGGGTTGGATATTTATGTGGTCTTATGCTTCTTCTTGATAATGGACATGAAGTCGATGGGCAATTGGTTTCCGAGGTACATGAATTTACCCACTTTTATAGGCTTCATATCCCCGATAATTACCTACAGCGTTATAATTGCAGGTTGTGAAATGCATTCTTAAATCCGGCCGGAAACTGTCTGAGAGACTTGATCGTCGGGAGTATGAAAACCTGATGCGTCGCATGTCTAATCCACCTGGTAAACCACCATTGATGTTTATTTGGCATGACAAATTCTATCTTGGGGCTGCACATGGGTATGCTGGAATTCTCCAAATTCTCTTGAAAGTGAGATATTGTTTTTTAATGAATGTAAAATTCTTCCATTAATTTGATAAGGCTGTAAATTGTAAACCATATCCGTGTAATTGTCAACTTTCTGGTCTAGATATCTTTTATTAAGCCAGGCTGTCATAATTTTCACTTGTAAATAAGAGTCAATTGCTATGAACGTCGCATTAGAGCAGGGCATTTTATACCATTATATCGCTGTTCCAAGGAGATTGGTTTTGGTAACCACGATTCTTTATTGATTTAGTGATTGCTGTTGCAATTAGCTGAGAATTGAAGATATGTATTCAGGTCTGTAGAATAAAAATTAAAGATAGCCATATTCAGTGATTGATAAAAATATGCATAGTTCATTCTATTACAAAACATATATTTTGTTGTTGATAATCAATTCCTTTGATAAATTTGCTACTGAATTGTGATTTTGGAATGTATTGAGCGAATGGAAATGGCTATCTTCACCTCTTCCCGAGTCTTGAGGCCGATGAATTGATTCGAGAAATGCTGAAAGGTAGATGTTGCCACTTAACACGTTGAATGCCATTGCCAAAACCGCCGACTATCCGCTGGTACGGTTATGTTTGGGTTGCTACAGCGTCAGTGCCTCTGGCAATTAAGTAAAAGAGTTGATCTCATATTTTCTATTATTTCAAACCTTTATGTTATATTATCAACAACGACTGTGCTGAAAATGGCAATAATACCAACTTTTGGTGTTCTTTTAAATATGCTGTATTATTTTTATGAACGATCCACTCGTGGGTAGCTTCGCAGTAGGTGGAAATCAACAACGACCCACCGGTGGGCCGTATCGCACTCAAGGTGTTAAACTATATAAGATAATTAAATCGCTTTAAATTTATGGCATTATAGGCCTTCACGATCAAGTGAATTTCTAGTGAAGCTGTTTTATTATTTTACTCAATCGTGTCTTGAGAGTAGGATTGTTACGAAATTGATGGTATTTATGTTAATAAGAGCTCCGTTTTCTTTCTACCTCTAATTGCAGATGACGTGGGATGTATTTAAAATAATAGGAAACAATTATTAAACTTAAGATTTCCTTTAGGAAGCAAAATGTTGACTTGGTGCCTTGTCTCTAGGTAAACGAGAAATTGCCCCAATGTTTGCCTGAAGGCGCGCTAGAGACGGATATTTTACCAACAGTGAAGTGGTTGGCGAAATTACAGCTGCGTTCTGGTAATTGGCCATCGAGTCTGGGTTCGAGTCTCGACAATGATCACCTTGTCCAGTGGTGTCATGGTGCCCCCGGTGTAGTCCCTCTTATGCTCGCTGCATATAAGGTAAGCATATTATTATTGCTCCTGGGAATTTTATAACTTTGTTGAATGTGTGAAGGAATGTAAATTGCTCGTTTTAGATCAAAATTAATGAAGCACTTCTATTAAAATTCAATATTTTATTAGGTGTATTTCCTATCTAGTGACTCAGTTTAAAACGATAAAAGTTCTTTGCTATTTTTAGCTTGACTCTAATCTCTTAGGCTACTAGTTAAAGGCAACGAATAGAGTTGGTGTCTTCTTTTTAACCGATTTCGAAAGTACGACACTTTTGTGGTGCTACAGAAAACTGCCTCGCACTATATCTGTGAGCAAAATAAACCGTGGAGAAAAAAACCCAATTTTTCACATCTTCATGATTTTTGTTTAGAAGTAGGACATTTCATTTCTCCTTGAAAATGTTTTAACCTAGGGTGAAGGAAATAATTTGCTTTCTAATGTTAACCGACAACTTAATACTTGCCATTTTAAGTTATAGGCACATAATTTGAATTTTTGAATTTCTTTCCGTTTCTCGGTTCTTGTTAAATCGCTGCCGATTTGAAATAGGACTAAACGTGGCAGAATTTATAGGCGGTTAATATGTACCATTTCATCTGTATAATGTAGGAAATCAACGTTGAATATCGATGTTCTCAAAAAGTACATTTGACGGTATTAAAAAAATGGTTATTAAATATGGTAATTTTACCCTTCTTCTGACTTGGGAAAATTGTTTAGATTTATTTGAGATTTGATCGTGGTCATGGTACTTATTTCGCCATTTAAGTATTCTTAAATCGCCATCGTATTACCACACCAGCACTGTTTCAATCATTCAACGTTAAAGCTATGATGATTTTTTTCAATATCAATTAATGTTTTTTTTATATATTCATGAAATAGTAATAAATGACTGATCTTATTGACTGATTAGCCATGCCTAGCTCGCTTTAGATATACATCATTCATCAGCTAAAGGAATTGTTTTTTACCTATTCATGCCTAGGTAACTGGTGATAGAGATTACCTCCAACGAGCTGAAAGAGGCGGTGAGGTAATTTGGGAACGTGGATTATTGACTAAGGGTTGTGGACTTTGCCATGGATCTGCAGGGTCTGGTTATGCTCTTCTTAGTCTGTATAGACACACTGGAGATAAGAAATATCTCCAAAGAGCTGCTGCAGTAAGTTCATATTATTGGTATCTTGTTGTTATTTATTTTGGTGGTAATATTTTTACCTTTAAATACTCTAACATCAGGTAGCTCTTTGGTGTGCTGATTATTTTAATCATGCTGAAAGAACACCAGATCGTCCTTTATCACTGTTTGAAGGTATGTTACCATTAAGTAGTGTTAGTACTGTATATTTGTAAATATTTTCAATTTTGGTGTTTCCATTCTAGGATTATCGGGGGCAATAATGTTCTTAGCGGATATGAGACACCCTGAAGTTGCGGAATTTCCATTGATCAATTGAGAAATGTCTCGTGATACCTCTATGCGCATAAGAAACCTTGGTGCTGTTACTTATCTAATATCTTACTATAGTATATCTTGCTTATCTCTGTACACTTTTTTTATTTCGATTTGAAACAGTGTTGGTTGAAACGTAATTGACAAACACTATTTGGTTAGATATAATAAGTGTAGATGCAGAATAAGTACAATTTTGTAATTGCTACTGCAATCTTAGAGGGGTTAAAATAGATGAAGATGGCAGCAACTTTGAAATCAATATTCGAAAAATAGGGCATTTAAGATTGGAAAGTTTTATTGGTAATATTGTTTTGAGATTTTGTGCAAACTTCGCAACAATAGAGATATTAATTGACATGAAGAGTTAAAAATATAAAAAGCCGAAATCTAACAAAACCCTAAGAACTTGGTGATTCGATAAGAAAGCGATGGTTTTCTGATTGCATTATTTTCGACGTCAAATATTACCTAACACATTTTCGATTCCATCAGTCGCATTTTAAGTGTTAATGATGCCCAGGCAATAAATTCTCATCCAACTTAGTATCTATTTGAACTTCAACTAAACAAGCTATAAAAAACAGTGAGGATTGTTATAGAGTAATATATTCGGAAATAAATAAACCGTTACTCAAATCTTGTTAATTCGAGAAACTGAAATTTATAACAACTGTTGGTTAAATAAATTAGGCCTAGATTTTTAAGCGTATTCTGACGATTAAACCCTTACTTATTTGCTAAAAATATTACATATGTTTGGATAATTAATATGAACAATTAAGGTTTTAAATTTGTGCGAACTCTATTTTTGCAAGAGGTGGGCAAGTCGAATAAATCCGAACTTATTATTTGGCCGTCTTTGTGAGACCTAGTTTTCCTTTTAAATTGCTTGATTTTATGTTTCCTTAAATATTAAATTTTCACATTTTGTTTCCGTTAAATTGGATCCTCTATTTTGGCATCTTTGTGCTTTTTGTAAATTTATCTTCACATACTTACTTTTAAGATTTGATTTGAACAAACCTTTGTGCTTCTGTAGTTAAAGAAGTAGCATGGCAAACCAAGAAATTACTCAGTGCCTAACATTGCTTCAACAGGCTTTTAGGTGTCCTATTTGGTAAGGGTGAATTAATTATCTTCACCTTAATACTTTCATTAAGCTTGGATAGTATTCAGAATGCTCGAGTTTCTCCTTGTTCTCATGTTTTTTGTAATCTCTGTCTTGAAAAAACGAATTCTGGCAGATCCTCTTCAACTTGTCCGCTTTGCAAAAAACAGTTCCCAACTCGAGCTTTTGTACCATCCAATAAATTTGACCAAATAGCGAAAGCTATAAATGAAACTGTTGACAATTTTGCGGAAGAAAGTCAAACGGAATGTAAGACACGTTTTAAATCTAGATATTCCTTTATTAGTTGTTCCCGCTACACGATTCGAGCCTTTACACTTAAGTCAGGAGTTCAGTCAAGCTCTGGTATGTTTGCATATTTTTTATTCAACGTTTCATATTTTAAGCCACAGAAACCAAAGGACACACCTCAAAAGCGGGCCAGTACTGCGCGTTTTTCTGTGCGAAATACTCGCATTGAACAGCTTGCCAAGGCAACTAAACGAGCTCCAGCTGAGTTTTTCAAACATATAAAGGGCAAAAACAACAACCGCAGGTCCTCATATTCTAAGGAGGAAACTCAGTCATTACTTTCAAATCAAGCTGACGATAATGAACAAACTGATTCCAATCATCAGAAGGAACTTTTTGCATTGACGCAAACGCCTTTACCAGTGGAATCCAGAGACTTGGATTTTTCTGATTTTCCAGATCTTTCAACCAAGAGGAATTCGATTGACAACGTTGAAAATGATAGTCAACAGCGCTCGTTCATGCGTTCTCGTAGACCCAGGCTCCTGTCTGCCGTTAAGAAGCACGTATTCCGAAGCCTATCAAGGGAGAGAAAGCGTCGTTTAGGTTCTCCCGATTCACAGAATTCCACGGTTAGTTCTTGCTCTGTAATCCCTCCTCTACGTGAGCGCTTGTCCCTCATGTCTACACCGACTGAGAGAACTAAGGGCTCTCCGAAACTGCGAGGGAGAAAACGCAGACGGCTATCTAATGAGCTCTACTCCCCATGGCTTCGGAATTCTCGGATGCACTTTTTAAAGAAATATCGAATTCCCTCACAGCCTCCAATATCTCGTTCTGCGTCTTCTGAACTTCCCTCCGGGCAGTCACCATCCTGGTCAGGTCTAAAAAACCTCACTGGAGATATGGCTAGGGTGTCTAAACGACCGCCCCTTCTATTCTCTAGTAAGAAAAAGATCGATGCAAATCTCAGTACCTCGTCTGCTGATAAAAGTTCAGTAGGTGTGCGTGAAGCTCGAAAATTTCCCGTGTGTCGATTTTCACTACCCGCCATAGTAGGATGGAAATTTAAGGAAACTGTAAGTTCTGAGGCTGTATCGGAGAGAAGTCTAATTTGCGCTAGCTGCGGCTCGGAAATGTTGCTCTTCCCAAAATCAAATTACTGTACCGCTCCTACTAACCCCCCACCTTGTCCTCAAATCCATGCTGAAACATCCTATTTTCCTGACTCTTTTATTTGCCGTCCTACTAAGGATACAGAGAAGGCGGGGAAAAACGAAAAGTGTGCTTCTGCGAATGCTACTCCTATAAAAACTCAAACAGTGGAGTCTCCGGGCTTAATGTCGGTTGTAACTATTCAACCTTCATGCATTCCCCAAACGTTTTCATTAAATAGCAAGGTAAGTAGTCTGTGATTTTTTTTCTTGATCACGTTTTCCTGGGCTTTTACTGGCAATTTACTGCATCTGATTTTTTTGTCTAGCCTTGTTCCGGACGCAGTTCTCCATCTACAATTAACATTCAGCCGTCAATGGTCCCACAATCCTTAAGCTTGTCTACATTTGCACCCAAGACGCAAGTATGTTTGATTTAAAACAGTATTTTAGCAGACTTATTTCAATTTAGACTTTTAAGTTGGCAGTTTACGTTCGGATATTTTTTTAGAATCTTAGGTCACACTTTAGTATTTGACGTATTTTTCTAATGAAATCCTGTTGAAATTCATTTGATTCGGCATTTGATTTTCAAATTCTGATGAGATTAGAACTCAGCAATACGTTTTATCTTGTTCTGAAATCGCCATTTTCTATGCTCATTAAAGTTATGCAACTTATGTGCTTCACTTTCAAATCCTCAAAGAATGAGGGTTAAAAACTGTGGTCATATTTTCTTAATTAGATATTCCTTTCCTTTGTTCATGATACTACTCAAAGATGTAATTCCTTCATATGATTAAAATATGTGATGGTATCTGATAAATATTATTTATCCATGGCACATCCGAGTCTATTTGGCTGAAAGAGATAGCCAAAATTCGTATCCTAGGCATATTTTTACGTAAGTGGAGAAAGAAATTCGAAAACATTAAGGGTACTTAATTTCAGTTAGGTAAGTGATCGGGTAAGTTTACTTGATGCAGGTTTTAAATTCAGACTTCCGAATTTTGCTATCTAGTACTTGATTATCCCGCTTCAATTCGTCTAGAAGTAGTGAATTTGCTTAAATTTGTAATCTTGCGAGGTTATAAGACTTGAATGTGTGTGTGTGATTATCCTTTATTCAAAGTTAGAGGTTTGAGTTGACTTCATCTTAAATTTACAGTCCTTCAAATACTATTTTAAGCATTTTGAAGCTCTCCCAATTCTCTCCCGAGAAGGATTTTACTTATAATTGGTGGTTTTGTGAGGTTAACTCGTGTTGCTTCCATTTAGACAGAAGGAGAGAGCGGGGGACTGTCTGGTGGTCTCGATTTGACAGTCGCCTTGGTAGAGGCTACAGACACTCACCCAACACCTCAAGTTCTTTCCTCTGCAAACACCCCTGCCTCCTTAATCACCGAGTTGCCACAAGGTCCCTCGAACCCAATGCCTTCTGATGCTTCTCTTGAATCAATACCACGAGTGAGCCTGGTGAAGAATAATATTGTTAGTCTGGCTGTTAAGCACCGAACTTTCTGCCTTACTGTTAGATAAGTCAACCTTCCCTCCTCTTTATTTCCAAGCTTTCTAAATATTACCATGTTCGCTTTCCTTTGGCTTGTATAAATGATTTCTCCTTTACAGATGTAGGTTGACTGAGTGAATGAATTTTTTCACTAGTAGACTTATTTTCTTTTATCTTGTTTAAGGGTCCGAAAGAGTCAAAAACTGTAAGTAATGTTTATGTACCTTTTTTATTAATGCTTCTCTTGATTATTGGGCTTCTTTTAGATTATTCATTTCTACACTTCAGATTGTACATTCGTTTTCAACTCATAAAATGCCCCTAACCACACAAGTAAAGCTACTTCAGAAGCCTAGCTAAAATAGGCTAGATATTCGCTCATAATGATCTTCTCAAAGGATAACCGGTACTAATGGCCCTTTTCAAATAAGAAAAACAAACGTTTAAGATCGCCTCATGTACATTGGACAACTTGTATCGTATAAATTATAGCGTAGAATACACTTGGAGTGGTTGACAAGTTGTCTAGACTTAAAGGGCTCAATGGGTTGGATTCATTAGAAACTCAATTTATCAATTACTTTAAGATGTGCGGTTCAATTTGTTAAAAAATAAGCTATATTCACTTTTTAGGGCACAAACGGCGAGATGGCGGAAGACGTTGTTGGGCCTCAGCAAGAGTTGGTAACTATGGACGTTGTGGAAGATGATATTGACGTCATTTCCGCTTCACCCACTTCCTCTTCCACTCTACTCACTGCTATTCCAGAACCTTCTAGAAGTCAAGACGGTTTGCATTCTAGAATAGTCGGTGTTGTATGTATTGATGAAGATGTAGACATTATTCCCTCGTCTCAGAATGAGGAGGCAGATGTGATGGAGAATATGGACACAACTATAGTCGCTCGTGTGGAAAGTAGTCAAATTGATGCTGCACCAACGGCACCCCGGAGTCTTGGTCCATTACCAATTACAGATACCATGCCGTTCACTCAAACAGTACCTCGATCTCTACAGACCAGTATAATCGCTGATACGGAGAATGTATTTGGAAGGAATGATGAGGAATCACCACAACCCACTATCTATATAACTGGCTCCAATCTAACTGCCGAACAGGCTGTACGTTTTCAATATTTGCTTATAACCCGGCTGTGTAGAGGTGATAGGCATTAGGTCACTTGACTGAGATGCATCCAATAAAAACTAGAATGGCCAAGCACACTGGTAAATATTGGTTAAACTGTGGCCGGGGGGGGGGAGAAATACAAGTTTCTCAATTAGCAAAGGCTTCCCTTTGTAATCCCTGGAAAACCAATTTTAATTAATTTGAGTTCCTCTTATAACAGTCCATCTTGCTATTTTTCAACTTCTTACTTTTATAACTAATGCAGTTGTGGACGTTTTATATAATGTGAATGGTATTGACCTTGAGACATCTTAATTGAAGTTTACATTTGTTATCTTATTTGAATGTCCCAGTCAATGGGATTGCCAAATAGCTTATTAATTCAAGTTTGCAGGCGAGATACTGGAATGTGTGTTTCTCATAAGACTTATCTCAGCGTATTTTCCCTCCGCTTAAGTCGAGTGTTGTGAACGGTTTACATAATGGGCTTGGAAATGGTCTAAAATGGTGGGCTTTAGCTTGCCAGATCCTTGACTTCATTTTTCCATTCTTTTAACAGAATGCAGTCCGTCGGTTCTGTGCAACGTTTAATGCCAAGGAGACACCAACATTTGATCCGTCTCATACGACTCATGTAGTGATCACGACATCGGAAAAGAATCCTCGGGTAGCAACAAGAACTCTCAAATATTTTATGGCTGTTCTCTATGGAACGTGGTTGGTTAATCCGTTCTGGATTAGGGATTGTCTGCTGGAAAATAAAATCCTTCCTGAGGTAAGTTTTGATGGGAAGCAATAATCTGTTGCGATTATTTTTTCTTCATTTTGTCGGGAGTCTTTTTCCCCAATTACACCAGGCGTAATTTACTCTGTATCTTTTATAGTTCCCAAAATTTCATTCAAGGTACGGTTGCCGCCATTCATTGGCTGGTAATTATAGGCCTTTCATTTTATTTCAAAGATTCCTCGGTAGTAGGCTTATATCCTTTCAGTTACAAAAACCAAGTAGTTGACTCATATACGGGAATGTTGTTAATCAATGTTTACTTCACTCCTATCCCTTCTCTATACATCAATTTTCCAAAATTAACCAATTGAGGGAAGTTGCGCTTATTCATATTATGCCGAACTTCTGCCAATTTGAGTACTTGTGGTATTCGTCAATCTCCGACAAAGTGGATCTGTTGCCTGCCTCATTATTATTTGGCTCATACTGCCTAAATGCAATAAAGTGTTAGAAATAGATGCTGCAATTAGGATCGTATTAACGTGAACATTTGAGGCAAATGTGTCAACAACTTGCAGCTATGTCCATTAACATTCATGCATTCTTAAAATCTTTAAGTGTGGTTTATCAAATTCTCTTTTATATTGAGTTATTGGAACTAATAGTATGTTTACTAGGAGTCATATGAAATCCGTGGTGATTATCAATGTGAAACACTTCACGAAGGTCCACGTAAAGGTCGTCTTCGTCTCCCCTATTTAAACACCACCATTCCCTTCTCTTCTAACGCGATCAACGTGCAGGCATCGTCTAGCCACCTTCGTGATTGCCGACCCTTTGTTGACCTCGTAATTTGTCCCTTCAAAAGCATTAATCCACTGTCTATCAATGATTTCGAGGCCATTGTGATTGCTGGTGGAGGAACATTTGTCAAGGACATCTGCCTTGTCAACGCCGATGTGATACGAGCGACGAGAGAGGCTGTACTTGGTTCCAATGGAGCGATTGAGGATTCCATAACTCAAATGAATGGGATAAAGAAGTGTTTGATTATAACTCAACCGAGGGTTAAAGGATTTAATATATCTGAGTGTGTTGGTAAGTCAAAGTCGTCGACTTTTTCATATTGACCACCATAAACGACACCATTTGAAAAGTGGATGCAAGTTTTCCCTATTTTCCGAGAGTACAAATGGGTCTGTCTAGTTTTTCTATGGGTTTAATATACCAAATAAATTTCTAGTATGAGCGTTTGAATTTGACGCTCAGTTGAATATGCGCTTGGAAATGAAGCCTTTCTATAATGGGTTCTAACCAATAATTCTGTTTAGTTCTAGAGGTAGACAGAGTTAGTAACTCTCTAATTCCATAACCTATCATCTATCTATTTGCATGTGTAGATTTTAATGACCATTGGGTAAATTCGTTATTTTCAAAATCAATTTTCCTTAGTTAATAATAGTACCTATCACAAAAACCGAGCTTTGTTATTGCTAATCTTTGTTTTGAAGACAGCCACTTGAACAGCGTTAACACTAGAGGGTTTGTTGATTGACTCATATGAGGAGTTTACTGTGTGGTCGTGGCTCATGCTTACCCTCCTCGTCTGCCATGTCAATGGTTACGTGTTCGATTGCCATCAACGCACGTTCATCGAGAAGAAAATAATTGCATTGGTTGAGTCTGGGTAATGTAAATGGTGGCAGAATTCGATGATCTCATCGCCAGATAGGCTCCATTATGCCACTACTCACAAGGTTCGTAAGTAAACGCTTTCATAAATTGGCTTGGGAGTTCGCTCGCATTAGAGCACAGGAAGTGGATCACTCTGGATTTAAAGGGGAAGTCAAAGCTCGATTGGTTAGGTTGACTTCCAATCGAAAGCAGACCGTACATTTGGCAAGTTTGGTTTAGTTCTTATCGCCTTTCATTTATCAAGGAGCGTGTTCTCATTTTGATTTATTTGATATATTTTCTATTTATATCGGCCCTTAATCGGCCATCGATAAAACACTTTATTGTTAGAGAATTGTATATTATTTGTTATTTAGATTTATGCTATCTCATTATTCTCCATTGTTTCAGTCTTGTTCGAGAAATACAAAATCCCGGTTATTGGAGTCAGCTGGCTGTTGAACTGTGCCGCGTCTTATTCTCGATTACCTCTATCGAACGCCTATACAATTTATGCTAAATACTAATCTTCGTAACCTTTTTTCATAATTCGACCTCGAGTGAAGAATCACTCAGTTAAAGCTTTCAAACGACTCTAATTGCCTGGGCAAAAGCTTACTTTCTTATTTTACCACCCCCCCCCCTCCCCCTCCCCCAATTGCGTGTTTTAAGGCCTCTCTATGCTTAATTTTATTCCTTGACGTATGCGTTGTAGATTAAAAGAGTTTTAGATATCCCAGTAAATATATATTTAAATTTAATTTGTTTGTGTTTAATCAAAGGTTTTAAGTGATTAGCGGGTGAACTTTAAGATATAAATTGACAAACAAGAAAATGCTTTGAATCACTTGCTTCTTTCAGCTAATGCATGTATTAGTTCGGAACAACCTTCCTATGAAATGACGTGGTGTTTTAGGAGATTAATGGCAACTCATCCTAAGAATGGTGACGAAGGTTTAATTTTGTGGCTGGTATTAAAGAGGCTTGAGGTCGTTCAATTACGCAATGGTTCGGCGAAATCAATCAGGCTCAATAGAATAGTTAAAAAGAAAACAAAAGCAGTAACTCATAACCTGAAATGAACACTATATCCTTTTATTTTCTCAATACTCTTGTGGTGACTTAGCTGAGGTTTAGTCAAGATTTATAAGTGTTACACCCACTTCAGTGGTATGTCGTGAAGTTGGATCTGTTATTGATTATGTATTGGAACAAAGTGCTGGAACTTTGGTGGAAATGGGCTGAAGACTTTGAGCCCTCACAGTACCAATAGTTAATAAAAATGGATTGATTGTAGATTAATAATCCATCTCTTAAAAAGTTAAGTTACTGCACTTTCAAGCGGACAGTCGATTTATCGAGTGGATACGGATCTGTAGCAATCCATATCACTTATACGGAATTCTAATTCCACCTCACTGTCATTTAAAGCTTTACTTGATCCGATCTACTAATAATGTTATCAGGCATTTACTGTTATAGTTAAATATCTATGTAGAATACGCATAACTAATATTCTAGGAATTGCAAGCTTCCCAAATCACAATATCATGGGCCACAATAATCGAACAAGTTGAGTGAATTTTCTGACCATCAGAAAGACCACGCTTTACTACAGTTAGTCAGATCATGCTGCGAGAATTCTGGTTTATTTCGCCACCTAATGAACTCATAATTCACCTTAGCTTTCCGTCGTTACAGTCCTTCTAGAAATAAATTTTCTTACTATTTCGAAACTTTCCAGAATTCTGTGAAGCAATAAAGTATATGAAAACAAAACTTCTACTAAAAAATAACGGCTTTTACGTATTGACTGACCTAAAATGACGGGTCTCAGAAGAATCCAATACATTTTTGGGCGAAAAAAGTTTGTGCCTTTGAACATACGAGTCCTTTCAAACGAACAGAAAGTTCAGAGAAAGCGATAAAAAGTATGACCAAGTCATTATTGAAATACTATTCAGGTTGAATAAACAAGAAAGAAAAGTAATATTAGCTGTCTTGGTTATTATGAGTGTCTTCTGTAAAAGACGCTGAAGAAGAAGTATTGATTGGAGCTCTTTGTAGAGCCGGGGAGATGGGTGATTTACTCTCATTAAATGCATGTAAAGGTAGTTGAAAAATGGGAAATAATTGTCCATGAATCGATAAAGGAAGTTGAGCTTCCATTGTGATGGGATTTGCATGTCCAACAATTGAGAGAAAACGATTTCTTAGAGCTGTGTCCCCGAGTGTCCTACTTGGCACTCTCTTTCGTCTCCGCTTGGATGGAAAGGGCAGCTGTTTTTCTTTTTAGACTTATATACCCTCTTTCGAAATTCTGGATCAGTTTTCAATTTTTCAACGAAGTCAACATACTCAATCTCAAAGATCGGTTTCTTAGCTTCTTCATATGATGACAAATACATTGTTGCAAAGAGGCAGACAGGATAATGTATAGTTTGTGAGTTTTGTTCACAATTAATACACATCGTGATTTAAATTCTTTCAAATGAACGAAATTTTCAGGTCCTTTAATCAAAAAAAAAAATAAGCAGGTAATGGAAATGGCAATAAAATTAAATGTGGATATGCTAAAGCATTTTAGAAGACTAGTTACAGAAGAAATGTTATTCACTTAAAGCATACTTTCAGTCTGTAACTGAAGAAAAAGAAATGTTTTCCCCAAACAAACTGTAGTTTTTCAGTTTGTGCAACTCAATTTGGGAAATGGTGAAGGAATTCTATTTAAAATACAGTCGAATAACGATAACGCTAATCGAGTGGACCAACAAGAACAAAAGATGTGGTCAGGACAACTAAGTCAATTAATATCACATCAAATTAAGTAAAATGGGACCCCATGGAATTGAATCTTTTGGGCCACAACGCTAGTCAATCATTTCTTGTAGGATGAAAATGTATTATCAAACTAATTTTACTGAGTATAAATTGCCTCTAATATACTATAAAACTAGCATTGATGAATCTATTTTTATTAAAAATGTGAAGGTTTTAACAAAGAAAACTAATAATTGATATATTACTTGCAAATAAATGAGCTGAATGGCATTTTTGTGTTTGAAAAAGTTACAAAGATTGCGCCTGACATGAAGATTTTGGAGTAACGTAGGATTTCGTGCTAGATATTTTGGTATTTATACTGCGAATTGAAGCTAAAACAATGGATATTTACGAATCAACACGCGTTTACTTTTCAAAAATGTTTGCTATTCCTCCAGGAATAAAGGTTCTTATTGTTGATGAAGAAACATTAGCAATTGTTAGTGTTGTAATGGCATTTTCTGAGATAATGGAGAAGGATATTTTTCTAGTTGAGCGCATTAGGGCTGCTCGTGAACCACTCAACCACCTCACAGGAGTTTTCTTTGTTCGCCCTACAAGTGACAATGTCACGCTAATATCGCAAGAGCTCAAGTCCCCAAAATACGCTTCCTACTACTTATTCTTCAGCCATGCTTTATCAAAGCAATCGTTGAAACAACTCGCAGAGGCAGATGTCCAGGAAGTCGTTGTTGAGGTACAAGAGTATTTTGCCGATTTTCTTGCTCTATCTCCTCAACTTTTTGCCATCGGAAGACCTATCTCTTTTGTTCCTGGTCTTGATGTCGTTCCTGAGGTCCTTTCGCGTTCCACAGATGCCATTACGGCTCTGCTTCTCACACTTCAGTGGTTTCCTCAGATTCGCTATCAACAATCTTCTGAACCTTGTCGTGCTCTCGCCGAATCCATTCGATCGTTTTGTTCTCGTGAAACTGATCTATTTGACTTTCGAAAACCAGACCGTCTTCCTGTTTTACTCGTTCTAGACCGACGCCAAGATCAAATCACTCCTCTGCTGACCCAATGGACTTATGAAGCAATGATTCATGAACTTATTGGAATTAAAAATAATCGCGTTATTCTTCCTTCTTCATCTAAAACGCCTGATAAGGCATCTGAATTGACACTATCTCGAGAATTTGACGATTTTTTTAAGAAGAATCAATATCTTAATTTTGGTGAAATTGGACAAGCAATTAAAGACCTTGTCGATAATTTTCAGAAAGTAACCAAAAAAGTTGAGGCGGAGAATGCGAAATCAATTTCTGATTTAAAGTGTCTGCTAGAAAATTATCCAGCATTTCGAAAAGCTTCAGGGACAGTTGAAATGCATGTCACCATAGTGTCAGAACTCTCGCGAATTGTTAAGGAGCGCTCCTTATTGGAAATTAGTGAAGTTGAACAGGAGTTAGCTTGCCAAAATAACCATTCCTCAAATTTCTCGCGCGTCCGTTCTCTGGTATCTGACCCTCGGATCAAAAATTGTGACGCTCTGCGTTTGGTTCTTCTCTATGCTCTTCGTTATGAATTTAACCACAAGGAGATCTCAATATTGTCAACTGCCCTCGCTGAACGTGGCATACCAAGGGATGATGTTCGTGTTATCGGGCATCTCAGCGATCATCCAAGCAGTCAGCAGCGTGTTGGTAGCACTGGTGATCTCCTTTCCAATCCATCTGTCTCCAACGCGACAAATGCAGTCGCCTCTATCACCAAACGCCTCGTCAAGGTGCGCAAAAATGTCGAGAATGTCTATACGCAACATGAACCTCTGCTCTCGGAGCTTATTCGAGAACTTATTCAAGGACAATTATCAGAATCAGCCTTTCCAACACTCATTCATGGGCAAGGTTCATCTCCGAGTTCCTATCCCGCGAAACAGATTATTGTTTATATTCTCGGTGGAGTGACTTATGAGGAAGCTTTAGCAGCACACAAGCTAATGTCCTCTAACATTGGATTGAGTATAATTTTGGGAGGAACTACAGTTCATAACTCGGAGTCCTTCCTTGATCAACTGCGTTCCTTTTCGCATTCCGAATTGCAAGTTGAAGATGTAGAGACGGTTCCAGGAGCTAGATCAGCACCAAATCGTCTGACGAGTTCTCTGGGGTTTGGAATTTTGAATAAGGGGTCAACAACGAGCAAAAATACCCGATATACCCTCCTTCGTTAGAAACAAACTGACTGTGATATCTCATTAACTTTTGCTTTTTCTCTTTCTCGTCATATTTCAAATTTGACAGTTGTACTACTATCACTAACTTGTTGTCTGTGTAATGTATAAAGTCCGTTGAATTGTCTGAATCCCGTTTGCTTTTTTCGACTGGTTTGATTTACTGAAAAAGAATATTTGCTTAAATCATCGAATTCACTATTTTAGATCCCCATGATAACTTTAATTTCACGTAATTGTCAACTTCCTGTGGCGTCATTTGTTGCATTTAAACAACCTCGAAGATTCCGGTACATTCCTTCCCCAGGAACATTGGATCAGAGACTCTTTCGCGAGGTTACAAAACCGATTTACCGTAAGCCGACTCTTTCAAGGCAAGAAAGATATATAGCCATACTCGAGGAATTTGAAAAAAGGGTATGCTACTTTTTATAAAATTAGGTTTAGGCAATTAGGTTTTTTTAATATTAAGTCAACTTTATCCGAGGCAATTTTCAGGTATCGTCTGTATAATGGAAATTAATTGAGTTGGGTGTTATTTTGTCAGAATATCATTTCTCGAGGGTGTGGAAAGTGAACTTTGGTGCACTCGAGTTAATGCTATTTAGTTGAGGGATTTTGAGTGAAATGTGATTCTATTCCAGTTCTTTTAGAGCTAAAAAATCATTCAATGGGAGCAGACAGGATTTATAAGATTGAATTGTAATACTTCAGAAAATTGCACGTTTATTTCCCATAAATAGCACGAACAGAATCCATACCGAAGCTTCTTGATTCGGAAGGCCAAGACAGACTTCTATGATAAAGCTGAGGGTAGAATGGTTCTCGTATTCCACCAACTTTATGCATATCAATGGGAGAAGCAGCCGGTAATCAATAAACTCTTTGAATATGGTCTCAGATTCCGCGGGTTTCCTATGGAAATATTGAAGTGAGTTTGCATTTATGCAATTTTTTGCTTTATAATATTTGCTGTTTTGCTTTATTTTTGTGGTTAACATCTAGAGAGGCTGCCAAGGGTACAAAGTGGCAACGATTTGTAGATACTGTGCTCAAGCAGCCTATTCCAAATCTCTACCTCTTTGGAGATGCCGATCCCCGAATTTGTGAGAAAGCGTTAAACATTACGAGTAAAACTAGGTTCTTCATTTTGCTCGGTGAGTTCAGTCTGTTAACTTTGTGCTTGGAATATATATTGAGTACATCATCAGGTGTTCGAGAAAAAATGTTAAATCAAAAGTTTGGGCGCTTTGGAAGTATTAATTTTTTGTAGTTTTATTGAACCCGATACAGTCGTAGGTCGTTGACTTGTTATATGCAGCTACAGGTCTTGTCAGTTTACCTGAAAAAATGGAAGCATTAATCGTCGCTTTATTTGTCTGATTTTCATAACTGGTAAAATGTGTATTGTCCTCTGTCTTCATTTTTCAAATCTTTGTGAGTAATTTGTCTTTGTCGTCTTAATGAGAGTACATTCCTTTAAGATGGTTCTCCCCATTCTCTCTCAATTATTGCTTAATAAATTTTCGTGTTATTATCTTTTTAACTGGTCAATTCTAACTTATGAGAAGTTGTTCTGGGTTGTTTTTAACATATCTTGCTAAATCTGAAGCTTTGTTTAATTTCACTGCGGTAGTATTCATCTATGCCTTCACGTTCGCGTAAATCATTTTTTTACCAAGAACTAACCATCTCCTGCCACCTATGCATTTGTCATTTGAAGTTGTGATGTTAATGACCTCCTGAGAAAGATAATCTGCAGATTTCACAAATATACTAGATCCTATAGCGTACTATATGCAGGGTGTTTCTATTATTATTTGAACTTAATTATTTTGCATGTTTTTTTGCTACAAAATGCAAATTTTGAATCCCTCACGTTGCCAATACTTGTACATCTATTTCTGTGGTTTATAAGACTCACTAGTATTATCGATTTAAGAGTAAGGGGAATATGCGACTAAGACACATTGGATTATGTCCTGTATCACCTACCTACATTGTTTAAGTCGTTAGATGGAGTCCGACTAGTAGGTTGTCTAGAAATGCAGTATTGCCGGTTAAAATGTATTATAAGTCGAACGCGAATATTTCATTCCGTCAGTGACAAAGTTTACAGTAATTCTTATGTTCGTCAATATTATTAAAGGAAGCATGTTGGAAATACAGCATTCCCACCATTAAAGCAATTCATCAATTTCAAGGCATACGATATTAACGTTATGCGATAGGAAAAAGACTATTCAATTATGCATTTCTCTTTCCTATATAGGTGGAGTCATTCAGCATCGCATAATGACTCGAGATGAGGTAAAGAAATTTGCCAGTCTCGGAGAATTGCCAGCACTTCACTCAGAGCTATTGGCCACACTTCAACAACCCACCACGGAAACCGCTCGGCTTCTCAATCATCATGGTGGAGAATTGGCCAACCTTCTACAATACCATTCCAAATCTACGGATAGCAGTAGTGACGCCCAAAGTGCATCGAGTGACCAGGTTGATGACTCGTCTTCAAGTAGTGATTCAGATTCTTCTGAGAGCGATTCTGACTCTGATAAGGAAAAGTGAAGACCTTGATCCCTCTTGTACATAAGAAGTAGATGATGAATAACCCAGAATGATTTGTATGTTCTGTATTTTCTACCATTGGGGAAGTTATATAGTACCTTAATTCAAGAGAAATCAACGAAAATAACCTTAAAGATTGAAAGTGAACCAGAGGTAGTTTGGTAGAGATTCATTTTAAATGCTATATAAATACAAAGAAAAGCAACGAAGAAATCATACAGAATCAGCAATAACATTTGGTTCGGAAGACTTAATATTTTTCATTACTCGTTCAATTCAGCAACAGGGATGTTTGCTTGCATTTTGTCTTGCAAACCAACATTGTAGGAAGTGTGCGCATCAAGTCGCTCAATTTTGCGTTCGAGGATTTTGAGTCGATTATCCATTTCAGCTAATCTTAAGCGACAGGAGGAATGGAACCGATTGAGAAACTCGACAACAGTTTTTAAGCTGGTGCATATTGTTTCGCTATTTTCTCGGTTTGTCCAGTCTTCGGAGATTTCACTGTTATAATCCGAAGCATCCATCGTAACCAACTGGGTTAAAAGTTTAGTCAGGCTTTTTCGGTTAAGAAAGTCAATGTCAATAATGTGCATAATTTGCATTTACAAAACTTAAATCGGTGTATGTAAATATTTTGAATATCATTTAAAAATCCTGTTTTTGGTTGGATTTATGAATACTTGCATTTGATATCAAAATCGTCTTGATTAGTGTGTGTGCTTAAGATTAAAGTCGAATCACAAGACAAGACTAACTCGTTGATACAATTTTGTTGATACATTAAAATTTGTTTCACTAAAAGTTCATTCCTCGAGTTAAATCCCAGTTCCCTCCTCTATTCCTGCCGATATCTCATGTTCATTCCCCAGATATAAAATCACCGACCAGATTCATTAAATTAGGTCCCGTGCTTACTCCGACAAATTCCTTATGTATAGAAGAATTTTCTCTAGCTAGAGCTTCTTTCTTATATTTTGGGTTTTTGGAATATTGTGAATCAAATTCCCTTCTATATTTCCATCAATTCGAAAATCGTGCATAGTGCCCTCATTCATCTTGATAACTGAAGCTAAGCAAAAAAATGACCAAGTAACGGTACACCACCATTCTCTTAATTATGCATGTGTTTGCCTATTATCCCTTCATACCGATTGTATTCCAAGGCTTATTTTTAATTCCCATCAATAAAGTGAAATTCAAGGTGAAAATTACGAGCAAGACAAGGTTGACTTTTATTCAAAACGTTCGTTCAAGAAACTAAAATATTACGTATTCAGAGTTTAGATGTACATCAGAGGTAGAAAGTGTAGGGTAGAAGAGTTGAATTTGCTAGTGGTGGATATTCAGCAATCAGGTGCCCTGGAACGGAATCTTCTGAAGTGGAACATTAAATCTTTTGAATAAATCCTTTAATGCATCAGCCCAGGCAAGATCCCTCAAGTTGGAAATCACTGGTTTCGATCGCCCATCGATTTCTCCACTAGGTTCCTTTCGAAATCTCTCCACCAACTTACTTGTTATTCGAGACATATACCGTTCCACTAAAATGAGATAATCAACTTACAAGCTTTTATATTTAATTATTGACCAGGGTGATTCAACGCCTGAAAATAGCTACACAGACAGGACTACCATACCATTACAATCTTGTCTCGTGGATCATTTTGCTTTTATCAAAACGTTTGAAAGCCATAACCATTCACAGTAAATGATAAAACGATAAATTTGTAGTAGCAATTATCAAAAATGACTTTAGCATATAAGGTCTTATAAGCTGAACGGAATTATTCTTGAGTAAAGAACAACTTTCAATGCTACAAACACCTACATTCGATATCCGGAATGCCGCTTCTAATAAGTCTTCTCGTGAGCTCCCGGGCAACCATTTTAAACGTATCCTAAATGGAAAGGAACCAGATGTTAGTTGAAGCATTGGAAACGAATATTGAGATGCGCATGATATTCTAACTGAAAAATAAAGTATAATTTGACGACATGCACCAATAAGTTCTTCTATTAAGCGTCAATCTTGAACGAAAACCTTCCATTCCAGCCTGTTGAACCTAAATGAGCCTTAATAAAATGTAGACATATTTCAACTAATTAGCTCGCCTATAGGTTTGAGTTCTCTTGGAACGTATACCTACAACTCGTTCGCTTGTAAATGATGAAGATTATAGGAGACTGAAAGGAAGAGAACTGAGTAATTTTCTCCATCCCACGAAAATTGCTTCCAAGATGAAGTTCCTATTCAAAAAAAACATTAACTTCAGAGCGCATATTTAAGCTACATTTTACTGGCTCAATTTGGTGAAATGAATAACATGATGTCTAAATGGAGTAATACAATGACACCATTGAAGTACCATAACACATTGTGAGAAAGGCACTAGGTGTTTGCCATTCGCCAGAAACTGATACAAAAAACCTTTCGCAAAAAGAATAGCTGAAAATGTAGACGATTAGCAATCTACAATCGAAGCCGCGCCTAACTCATCGGACGGTGTGGGCCTGAAATCGGCCCCATTAAAAATAGTAACCAATGTTTGTCAAATGTTTAATGCAATAGATTAAACTATTCGAGTACACATTTTAGGAAATAATTTTCAGCAAAGAGGACTCACTTTGTCTTTAAAAATCCCTGCCGTGTAGTGACGGGAGAGTGAACGTACAACACAATCGGCAATGGTTGAGGTTTTACTACGATCACTGTGCGTCTAAAAGTACACAAATATGAATTATCAACAGCACAAACAGCTACAAAAGTGCCAAAAAAGTGTAAAAATGGGCCCACAGCCTATTTCCATGATCACCGGATGCAATACTTTCAAATACTAAAGGAAACATTTTAAAAATTGAGCTCTTGAATTTACCACGGACATTGTACCTGACTGTACGGATAGCAGGAATGGAGCATACATCAGGGAATAAGTGTGGAGTGAGCAGGAAAGGAAGTTAGATACAAAAGAACCGGACGAAAATTTCAATAACAAGTACCGTCGTTCATTACATGGCTAGTGCGATTCCCAGTATTCACAAGAACGAATAGGAAATCATAGGTGTGACACTGTAAAATCCCTTTAAAACGGCGACTCAGATACGATAGACTCCCTCCACCTCCTTTCCATCAGGTGTGTCAGCCTAACTGCTCCTAATTCACACAATACAAACAATAGTACAATAGTCGAATAGCAAGTAGCGAACTTTCCGACTCCGGACTTGATTCACATATCAAATAAAAGCATACACTTGTACTATTATGATTTCATTAGTACCACAATTATAACGACCAACGTACCGGGCCATTTGAATTACCAAATACGTAGATATTTGAGTATTCCGATTGCTCTAGAGGAGGGCGTGACGAAGATAAAATAGAATCTGATTGATCAGATGCGTAAGACCCGGCCTGGTAGCTCGATGATAACCGGGATCTCTTTTGTGGAGGTTCCGATTGTTCAATAATCGATTTCTCCCAAAAGTAAGTTATACTCGACTCCTTATCCGACAAAGTTGAAATTTTCGAAGTGTTCGAACAATTAATATCATTTACGTCTTTCCCACCACTCAAGTCGCCCAAGAGACTTTTCTTTAATGAAGGAGGAAGACAGTTAGCATTGAGTATGTCTTCAGCACTAACGCCCGATGAAGACGAAAGTTCTGGAATTGCGACCGGGCAACTAGGAGGTTTGGGGGATTCAACGGCAGACAAGGGAGTATCAGTTGGAGGAGTTGAATTAACTTGTGGTTGAGGTGACTGATCTTCACCACTTTCTGTCAAATCCTCAGGTTCTTCTTGATTCTCAACATAATGAAGGGTCTCTACAGAAACACCTAGCCAATCTGCGAACCCATTATATAGTGCCTCTAGTGATTCGAATTTTCTAGTCTGACTTATGCGACGAGTCATATGGCCTCGATAGACACCAGCCACCTAAAATTAGAGAAAGGTTAAATTCTCCACTACTGACTAATAGTAAATAGCAAACATTTACCTTAGAAGTTTTGTACACGTGATATTCCAGTCGAGCGGCTAGTTTGTTAAAGTGAGCTTTTTTGGAGTCGTCTGATGAGCTGTCATTCACATGACTCAGCACTGCGGAGATGAGTAGATTTAGTGTCTGATCTCTAAATCGTCCAGTCACTCCGATGATCAATCGACTGTCGGGGTCCACTAATGGTGAGTCTTGGTTTGCCGAGACCCAGAGCACCTAAAAAGTAAAAAGTGCGAAGTTAAGTCAACAAAACTCGACCAACGACAACTAATATTACCTAATAAAATATGAAGGATATTTCAGCTAATTACTCTAAAAAATTGATCGAATACCGACCAAACCGCTCATAAAGGTACAATCACTAATAATTTTCATCATTTGATAAAGTCGCATGCTATTATCACTCGATATAACAATATGTGATAATTGAATAAACGGAAGTAGGGTAAACTAGTAATCCCCAGCCCAGTACCGAAGCACACAAATAAGCACCAACAAGGGAGGAGAGTTGTGATGGGCTCAGCCAAATGCCAATGCTAAATGAGGGCTCATTGGGCACTGGCAGAAGACGGTGGCATTTTCTCCTCTTTTTTGTTTTAATCGGTGTTTCTTTGGCCACCGTCATATTTTCACACCCGCAGATACTCAGTCATGGCTGAGTTACTCGTAAAATACTTCATGACAAACATCAAGTTAGATCATGCTACTTATAATGTCTTATGCGCGGATTTTGTAATCACGGCACAAAAAAATTGACAAGAGAAACAAAGCTTGATTTCAAGTTTATGCATGAACTAACCCTGGGACCGGCCACAACAGAGGAATTTCTGCGTCGAGCCAGCTCCTCACGGACGAAATCAGTTCTCTGTCGGCGTATCGTTTCATCGTAGTCCTTGTTAGATGTGCTTGGTCCGTCATCGTCATTATACTCCTCCCATCCTTCGCCTTTCCGACGAGGACGTGATCTGTAGAGATCGGTGTCCAAGAAGGCTTGATCACTGTTACTCTCACTAACCATATTTCCTTCAAGGTAAAATGAGAGGGGACAGTCCATGGTGATAATTTAAAACTGCGCATTAATTCAAACATGCTTGCAAGCAAAATTTCAACGTAGGATAAAGGTTCAAGAGATCTGAGTTGACCGCACATAGTACACGAATATAATAAACCTAAAACACTCAATAAGGACACAATAAAAACAAATATGTGAAGATTATCACATGCGTATTTAATAAAAGAAGCAAAGACAGCAAAACATGCATCCCTAACTTACTGCAACATCAGAAGTTGGGGAAGAAATTTAGTCCCAATGCAGACATAACTTAACATGGCAACTTTCAGTCACAAAGAATTGAGTACCTATGTGGGGGATTAAGTCAAACAACGGTCATCTATGCGAACCGTACGAGCCTATCCATACGAGATTTGACTTAAATTTAACTAGCATCAGCTTAGGCGATGATAGAGCCAGAAGCTTCGAAGATGAGATCTTCGCTTACATAATTTTTTTAGTTTTGAATCATGCGGACGGTATGTTCTTATAATAGATTCAAAATTATTCCTTCAAACCATGCTCCCAAAGGTAATAAAACAAGAGGAACAACATTAATGTTTAAAACATTAAATGTAGCCCTGATTCTTTTCAGCGATTAATTTCTGAATGTAAAAATCGCATTGAATATTACCAGAATTGTGTAAATGAGGCATTTTTAGTGTACCTATACGGCGAGCTCAAACCTTATTACACTCCCTGACACTTTGGCTGTGAAAAAAATTACTCCCAATAAAAATGATTGGAATAGCACATCAAATGTATGAGAGCGCAATTAAGGAAAAAAATAGGAACAAACTAACCATTTACGACAAATTACATAATTATCGATTGAAATTAACTTACCGTTTCTATGCTCTTACGGAAACCAACCAGCTTTGAGATTGTTCTCATAATATCAGTTACCTCTATCAACCACTTCACTGATTTTGCATCAATGAGCGTCAAGAACCTCGTGACCTCTGACTTACCAGACGACTGCGTTGAACAATGAGCCACTGGTACACAGTTGGAGAAACTAATTTTAGCATCTCGTATTACACGAGACCAAGTAAGTTATAGAACAACTTGAGGCAGATTTATTTTGAATAGAAAACAACAAAATCGAAAGTCGATAAGTGGTCGGATGTAATAATTATAGGATGACAATTGTAATTGCTGGATTCCCACATATCAGATATGAACCCACACCACCTCACAATATTCCATTAAATAATTAACACACGTACATATGTATATTTGAGAATACTTACCATATATTACACGCTTATAGCCAGCAAGTTGTTGCGTGACTTTAGTAGGATTTGTGCAAACATCACACCGATCAACGCATTGCATTGGATCATCTCCAAAATACGCAGCAAACTGAGAATGTCGACACCTAAATAGAAAGAACGTGTTGAATTATTATTATTATTATTGCTATTAATACGCCGGTATATAAAAACGCTGATCAACAATCGATACTGAACAAATACTTGTAGTAGGACTCCATTTAAATTGAAATCTTCCCTATGACACCCCATTCTCATACACTTCCTTCTCCCACCAACTTTTTCTTATTCTTAAAGTAGTTTGGCGATCTGTGGAAAAAATCAGTTTGGCGTTATCACTTGGTCACTGTAGCTTGTACAGAAAAAAGGTACACGGCCTCACTACTCTTGCAAAAAAAATAAAAGCTTGAAAATTAGGCATTAGTGACAGCACAGGAATTTAAAGTTATTATTTTTTTAATCATTTGATGGAGAAATGTTCTCTCCATGCAAAGGACTTAACTTACTCCTTCAATGAATTCTCAACACTACAACAACATTAAGGGATAAAAAAGTTGATGCAAGGGTATCTTGAAGTCTCACACTCCCGAACTTACTTCATTGACTCCACGTAATTGATCATAAGTGCCAAGTCCTGAACACCCTTCTCACGATGCTCTTTGTTCTTTTGTGTCTGAGCTTTTTCTGACATTTGACCCACAAGGAAGGCGACTGTGTCACGCTCCTGTTTTGCGTAGTAAATGCGGCAACGCGAGAGAATGCCGTCCCGACCGGCTCTGCCGGATTCCTGATAGTAGGCTGCAAGACTCTTTGGGATTGTCCAATGAACAACACAACTGGGGGAGGGGAGAAAATAAGGGATCACAGATTACCATTTCCCATCTCCGACTACCTGAATCTATATTTCTTAGTAAACTCTTTATTCCGATATATATATATATATATATATATATATATATATATATAACGGAATATTATATATATATATATATATATATATATATATATATATTCAAGTCGACTAGGGGACTTCGCCTGTTGTATAATGCAAATATCTTACAGCATATTTGATGATATTAGGAAATAGGAACCCATTTCATACCTGTTTGGTTCTAAGGTGATGGAGTAAAATTTTCAAAGTTTTTTTTTTATTTAGGATGCCTCTTCACCAATAAGACTCTGAAAGAGGCAATACCCAAGAACACAGACAGAATGATTGCGATTGGATATTGGTGGTGAAAAATTTCCAAGACTTTTGACTCACTGAGTAAATAGACGAGCATTAGGGCTTAAGTTTTAAATAAGAATGGATATTTACAACATTTTAGATCATTAAAACTATTGGAATAAATGACAATTACTTTTAAGTACCAACCAACTCTAGCAAAAAAATAAGATACTAATGTAATTACTGATTCATTAACTACTTTATAATCCCATGGCAAAATGCAGACAAAGTAAAGTACATAGATTTCAGATAATGATTCCTTTGTTGCACTGACAGCCATTCTCCACCTTTGCCCAATCCTGCCGTATTCTTCGAAATTAGAAGCATCTCAAGAGCAAAACTTTGCATAACTGTGGTAATAACAAAAAAGCAAAATTAACAGACTACGTAGAAAATGAAATAGCAAAAACAAGGCTAAAGCGCCATACAGCCATGGCACATTTATGTACACTATATGACTGTTAAAATAAAACGTTGAATTATTATTATTAAGAGTAAATCATACGGTCATTAAAATTAACTCCAAGTAAATGCCAAGTTGAGAATTTTAAATTTGAACATTTACCATTAAAGCAAGATCCAAACTTAAGCATTTTAGAGGGAGTACTAGAGAAAAATTTCTAACATTTTCAACTCTGAAAAAGATCGCGGAAAGACTAAATGCGAAAAAATTGCGCTTGCTCATTCTCTATGAGAAAGTAAATGTTGTCAAATTGGCTGTCATGGCATACACACACACATACATAAAAAATAAATGGAAACTATAAAGGATAAAAAATAATACCGAACATGGGGGTTGTCCACTCCCATTCCGAAACTGATAGTAGCCGCAACAATGGGAAAGACTCCTCCGAACCACTCTTCTTGAACTTTGTTTCGATCACAATTGCCCAAACCAGCATGGTAGGCCTTCGATGGGATCCCTCTAATCGACAATTGATGAGCTACTGTTTCGCAGTCTTCTCGAGTTCGACAGTAAACAATACCGCTCACATTTTTCTACAAAAATATTCATTACAATATTCAAATAATCTACTGAAATTGTCGTGGCAGATTCATCTCCACTTAAACATTCGAGGATAAATTTGGCAAGATCATCATAGGGGGTCTTTAGTAAATCACAGAACACAACATCATAGAACAGATTCGAACGAAAGACACCAGTAACAAACTCCTTAAATTTAGTAATCGCCAAACCAGCCGCACGCGATGTTTCGGGGTCTAATTTAAGTGAAGATATGATATCGGCCTTGACTCGAGGATTTGCTGTTGCTGTCAAGGCAACACATGGTACATTGGGAAACAGAGAAGTCCGTAGTTTACCTAATTTTAAGTAAGCAGGTCGAAAATCGTGACCCCATTCTGAGACGCAATGAGCTTCATCGATAAAAAAATATCGGAGTGCATTCAAATCAGTTAATTTCTTGGCAATCGTACGGAATCCATCAGTCTCAAACTGCTCTGGAGTAATATATAGGAGTTTAATTTTAGGAAGAGCGAAATCTTCAATAGAACCAGGAGCACGTAATAACCGTTTGATAATATCATTTCTGTCCTTCTGTGATTGCTTTGAATTCAGTGTAGCCGCTGGAATTTTTAACTTTGTCAGCTGCGATATCTGGTCCGATATAAGAGCAATGAGAGGAGAAATAATTATAGAAAGACCATCTTGGATGACTGCGGGAAGCTGATAACACAAGCTTTTACCAGAACCCGTTGGCATTGAAATAAATGTGTTGTGAGTACCCTTAACAATGCAACGAACTGCATTTTCTTGTAATTTGCTTTTAAATTTATTGTGATGGAAGGTGTTACGTAAGACATCAAGAATTGGGTCAGCTATTTCCATTTTGACAGTGCAAATCCTAATTTCAAGACCAACTTGTAACACAGAACTTTCGACTTTAGCGCATTCAATCGCGACCTCGAGAATAGCTTAAATCACATTTCACATAGTCTTCAAATTTTCATGGTTAAATGTTAAATATTTTTTAGTTTTCAACAAATATTTAATTTGACGCGGCTGTTAAAATTCAGTCGAATTTGTTTACAAGAACACTTGTATTTGTTTTAGTTTTAATCTTTAAACTGTACCGTCTTTCAAGAAGCATTTCTATTTCTATTACATCAATAGATTTAAACCTAAATGGAATTTTAACATGCTCTTCATTTCAGTGGTCTTATATGAACTAATTTTGATATATATTGAAAAAAATTGATTGTTACCTTAATCAGTATTTTAATTCCAAGTTATGATCCAATATGAGCGCAAATGATAGGATATAAGAATCAGATGAAAGACATGGTTTGCATATTTTTAATCAGAATTAGCTTTGTCCTTTTATGCGATTTTAATTATCATTTTAACCTTTTCGAGGAATTTTTTTTAATTTGAAGTAACATTGTGTTCATTTAGGTACCTTGAGTAAACCCTGTTTACTAACTCTGCTAAGTTTAACCTTTAGACACTCCATTGACTTGCCATACGCAATAAGATGAAATAGATCATCATGTTGATAGAACCAACCGCAAAGCTAAACCGGTCCTTCACCAACTTCTGCCAATTATGGCCCTAATAAATCCCATGAATCAGCATGAATGCCATAAAAACGCATCAGTTAGTAATGCAATTTTACGTCAGAATCTATGAAAGTCCTCTTATAGAGTGATTCATGCTTAATATGGCTGGGACTTCGAATCGCATCAATATATTCGGTTTGTTTTTTGTAATGCCTCTTATTAACTCCACTTTACCTTGTAATGACTATGGCCTAGCACTATCTCATGAGCAAGAACAAGACTTAATAAGATAGCAAGAGAACAATCAGGATTACACCAAAATGAAAGTTCTAAATATCCTTCTTCAATTTTAATGCGCTGACGTTAATTTTCATTATTTATTATGGTCCTTTTGAAATATTTCAAGGTAGATAGTATGCAGTATGTGATAAACTACTGTGATGACACTTAATAAACCTATAAACCAACTCTTATTCAAAAACTATTAACTATTGTCTACTCTTGTCCCTTAAACAAAATTCCTGTAAATATTTATCTATTCATAATTTCTTCAACATAGTGATCTGATTTATATGAAAATCTCTTGTTCAAGGCGTTTCTTTTTCAAGTAAACGGAAGATTATAGTTTAGCAATATAGGAATATGGCGTTTTACCATGCACACAACTTCGATCAACTAGGGGTATGTGATAGACTTACCTCCACATGGTGCACCCTGGGCAACGTATACTCATACGGCAAAAAAGTCTATTAACCGGCAGTTGACTTCTGATTTCAAACTACCGACACCCCACTGTATGTCATATTTGACTGCTTCCACAGTACTCACCTCACCTTTTTTCTACATTAGTGTCTGTCTCTTTTTCATCTCTGAAACACTCTTCTGTTCCCCCCCCCCCCCCCTCTCGACTTTTTTCACTTTGTTGTTCCTTCTCACCTGTGAAGACTGAAGTCAACTAAATGGCTAATGATAACTATCAAAACGCCTGTCATTTGATATAAATAAATAAACTTCGATTAACTATGCACGTATTTATTATTATTGATTCTGAGAAGTTGAAAAGCCATGAAAACGTATTAGAAGGGCTTAACATTGATGAATTTCGACCATTTTCTTGGAAAAGCTGAAATTCTACATCGAGAACTGTCGCGAGAATGTTTCAGGGCATATTCTTAAAATAAATGTCCTGAAGTAAGCAGTAATAACTTTATAAAACTTAAATTTGGGCGCTAGCTTCCTTTACTAGAAGCATATTTCAATTCTTTACATCTGATGATCAAAAAGATAAACTTGAAAAATGGCTCTCTCCGAATAGCCATTAGAAACTTTATATAATTGCTTAGTGAACCCGAGAAAAGTTTACCGTCATTTTAAAAAATATTGCACAGTAATTTGACTTTTAAATAATTGCTTTTGAACCTGTCTTTTGTTTATGCACATACAAAATTTATGTGGAGAATTCACAGCATCACCTTCGATACAAAATGCTGCACGCCATTGATCTTGTACATAAACACATAATGCAAATAATGACTTTCGTTTGCATTTCCCAACCTATGAAGCCAGGAATTTTCCTACAAGACTCCAAATATTTGACTATTTGCAAACCATTCTACAGTTCCAGCTGCTCCCAGTAGTAATGTCGGCTTCAAACTTTCTACATCTTTTCATTTTGACCAAGATCACAATTTTAAGAAAATGGCAGCTATTGGCCCCATCTTACTATCTCGGAGACTTTGAATGTAGAAAGTACAAAAAAATCTGATGAAAATTCCACCCAAGCATTGTAAAATTGGAAATAGAATTTATATATCCGACGCCACAGAATTTGAAAGCGTCAGCAAGATGCTGTCGCAATATCTGCAGCGAGTATTTCAGGATTAAGCCTTGACTAAAACAATGGTGAAACTTCTTAGTATAAAATAGAGCCCGAAATTAGCTTAGTTACCTCCATAGTATTGAGGTAACAGGAGGTTTAGAATGATTTGCACCTACTACAGGTCATGGACCACTACGCAATCAATTCAAGAACAATTGATAACTGATTGGCGGAGAGTCTCAGTACTGACCACCAGACATGCTCGCTAAGCGATCAGTAACAGAGCCGTAACTCCCAGACTGTTGGTGTGCTCATGAAATTTCTTTGTTCAATCCTAGATACCTTTTGAACAATCTTATTTTTTTCCTTCAACTAATGAATTGAAAAAAACAAGATTATGTTCTGTGATGGAAAATAGATTGTACTTTCATGAGGTTGTCAACTAAGCAAAGGCACACTTTCAAAGTTAAGCGCAAATGTATTGCCTCTATTTAAAAGTTTGGTAATGCCAAAGAAATTTACAAAGAAAATCATTTTCTCCTTTTGGCACCTACAGGACTGACAGAAAGAGATTCTGATATTGAGATTTTCGAGAAACTATTCAATGACTAAGGTCAAGGAGGTGCAATTAATAATGCCCATTTTAGGAGTAGTAAACACAAAAGATTTCTCATTAGTTTACAGCAAGTGTTGAAGGTGTTCTGCGTGAACTTTGATACACAACTTAGCACGTCTCAACGCCTCTCCATTATATTTCCCACACGCTGTAGTTTAGTTTAATTGAGTCATTTATGAGTGATTTTTAGCAAATAATAAACAAGCCAAAAGTTATGGTTAGTTTTAAATAGACAATTATTTTTCCTCCAACCCTCGGTAGTGAAATTCCAGATGCGTATGCCGTCTATTTTCGTAATGATATTGCAATCTTATCTGTGTCAACTGTGGTGGTTCGCTAGGCGAATAAGACTGGACTTAACTACGCTTATCGCTATGGCAATATCCCCTCGTATGGAAAGTCTCACAAAATTAGCTAAGTTACCCCAATAATCTCAAGGACAAAGAACATAGGACGTTTACTGAGGTTGTGCTGATGTATAGTATGTCTCCTGACAATGGTACAGAGCTCGATCATTAAATACGGTTTTGAATGCGCTGAGCCTGCAATGACTATTGATTGTTGATTGGCTGAGAGGTCTCTGCAATTGTGACCTCACTTGCCCCCCCCCCTATCACGTTCAGCAGAGCGGCCCATAATGTTCGAGCATGCATGAAATGGCTTAGTTTGGCCACATTATGCACGTTGCTGGAAATATTGTGGCGTGTAGTACAGACACATTGGTATATTTAATTAACTCCGCTCTTCGATTTGACTTCGACATCTTTAAAAAGCGCCGCCAATTTGATTAATAGATTGTCTACATTGAATTCCCACAGGGGACACATACGAAATTGGGTCAAAAAGTTAGCAGACAAATGCCATAACTTTTAAGAGAACAAAGTTTTACAGGTTTAAACATGTCTTTAGAGCTTCCTTAGTAACATACAACTGTCCGATCACTCAATTTTCAAATGGCAAATTTTGAGATTAGAGGCTACGTAACATTTTTGACGCAACTAAATTGAAAATCTATCCAGAACAGGTTTATGAGGAAACTGTGTCGTATAGAGCCGTTATTTACGATCGGATTAAGCGCTTTAAAAAGGGAAGAGTGCAACTTGATGTCGACCCAAATTCTGCCATGAAGGAATTTACAAATGGAAATATAAGTTTCAAAAGCACATAAACAACAATGAGGCCAATTTGACAAAAATGAATGTAATCACTTGGTAAATAAAAAAATTTTGGAATTTGTTTGAGAGCTGTTTTGATTCACTCTTGTGTGAACAGTAACAAAACGTTTTGACTTTGACCACAATGTTTATAGTCAGAGTTATTATTTCTTATAACACTGGCATATAATTACCAATCATATTGAAAAAGAAAGACAATATTTATTAGCTCGCTTGGGGACTATGGTATGACTCATAACTCAATTTATAATAAGACCCTTTGAATAACGCACATTTCTCCTCCTTTGAACAAAAAATCTGAGAAATGGATGAGTAACAATTCTCTTCACTGAATTTCAACAAAATTGGGATGCATGGAGTAAGGAAGTAAAGTGCCTTCAACGCCTTTCCTTCAAAACTTCTCACTACGCATTTAGGCCATTGTAAATGAATGTACTATTTTGCGCCTTGATATAAGAACTTGCGGTACGCTTCATCGCCTAATGCGTGATCGCATACATGCACAACCAATAGCCAATCAGAAGCCTTCGTTGATTATGACTAACCTTACGGCGTGTACACTTGTACCACGATATTTATTTATATCAAATGGCAGGCATTTTGATAGTTATCATTAGCCCATTAGTTGACCTCGGGCTTCACAGAGGGGGGAGGAGGAACATCAAAATGAGAAGAATTCAGGAGGGAGAACAGAAGAGTGATTGACAGATGTAAAAGAGACAGGTAAGATGAGTACTGTGGTAGGGGTCGAATATGGCATAGAGTGAGGTGATGGTAGTTTGAAGTGAGAAGTCAACCGCCGGCTAATAGACTTTTTTGCCGTATGAGTATACGTTGCCCAGGGTGCACCACGTGGAGGTAAGTCTATCCCGCACCCTGTACCACAATATACTTCCTAAATGAATGTGTTCCATACGCTTTGTCTGTTTCCCCTATAGCTGGGCTGTAGCTTAGTCATAGATGCTTCTGAGTCAGTCTAGGCTTTACTAATGTAGCAATCAGCTACAAACTAGAACAAATCGAAGTAATACAAAATATGCTTTTGCAAATGATTGTGTTTCAGGAGTACTTTTTAATTAAGACTGATTTCAGCGAAATTTATAGTTTTGCTAACAAGTGTGCCCTAGTTTACGAATTTACTTCTTTAGGAACGAAAGATTTAAAAGAAACATATTACGGTAATGGGTCCATGAACGCCTTCGGCAGCATGGTGATTTAAGTTTAGATCACTTCTTATCAAGATAGTTCAAGTTATGCAAATCGGAATTGCTGTTGTATGAATTTCTTGTTTTGATGCCGATACAGAGTGTAGGCTTTGGTCGTGAATTTGCCCTCTTTTCTGGGTTGATCGTAAATATATCTGTTTGAATATGCTCTGAGCTTCATTTCCACTTCTTGGAATTCACTATAATTATTCGTCTGCAACATGCAAATGAATGTTTATTAAAATCACATCTTTCCTAAAGGTTCAATATTTAAGGACTAAGGTTTAAGTCGTCATATTGGTCATTTACCTTTTACCGTCATATTGCATGGACTGTTATTATATATTACCCAACTATTTCACCATATCTTGAAAACCGATCATTTTGTTCCAAATTCCATTACTCAGTTCATTTGTAGGTATCAAGGTTACATTGAGAAAAAAGTGCATGATATGAATAAGATTTTTACATTTTCAGTGACAACGCTCGAAGGTTCTTGCCGTGGTAAATAGAGACGATTTTGATATGGGAACCAGGACCTCAGTAACTTGATTCTTTATTCAAGTTCCACTGACTTTACACTGATCTCGCAAACTTTCTTATAGCAGGATTAACAATTTTTTTAATTCCTTCTCCATAACTTCACAATTTGTGAGTCATTGCTTACCCTTGCTTTATTAAGGTACTTTAAATGTTGCCTCTTGATTAGGTAATAGCCACAAATGTACAGCAGGACGATTAAAATGCATTACAAATTTACAGTCTCCAGGCCACCAATTGCATAATTGATTTGGGCTTTTGATTGGCCTATGCTGGTGAAATTAATTTTAGCTTGCTTTTGCTAACGAACGCTAATTTTGCTCTAAGTCTTTTGGAAATCGTCATAAGCTATCACAAGAATCAAAATTCCCCCAGGAAATAAGTTGATTTTGGGAAGGCGGGTAACCCAAAAAAAGCTATTTCTGATTGGTTTTTTTCTAGCCTATTAGCAACCACTTCATCGCTACTGGCTACGTCTTGCATTGTCGACAGAACAATAGCTTGAACGTGACTATTCTGCATCCAACACCTTATAGGAATGTATCGTCATGCTCCTGGTTTTTTGCAACGTCCAGTTGCCTACCTTCGTTCACACGCTCGACTGTATGCATGCCCAAAATTCACTAGTGGAGGTTGTAACGGCGTTCAAGGCAACAATAAGAAGAACTTTTCGTCTTCTGGTCATTCGGATGTAAGCCAACATTCTCCTGAAATTGAACAAGTTCTCACGCTACAACCAAAAGTCCTCGCCTTTGCTTCTGTTAGACCAACTGTCGAGGCCCGTAAGGTAATCGTCAAATTCATTAATTCAACACTTTTAATCTTGAAAGAAAACTACTTCTTTGTAGGCTGGTGGTTTAAGGTATCCATCATTCCCATCTCTCATCTTTATTGACTGATACAATAATCTCACTTCATAATCACGAGCAGAAAAATGAATTGCCCTTTATTAAATTGTATACCTTATACCATGAATCACTCATCAAGGACTGCTTACAAACTTTATAGGCCAAGAAGGAGTGGAAAAGGAACGCAGACAAAGACAACCACGAAATTCCTCCGTTGGCTTACGATTTTTCTGATGCCAATACGACGAGTCTTGGAGAACGTGGAGCTCTTAGGGAGGCAGCTCGGTGCTTACGATGTGCCGATGCACCTTGCCAACATAGCTGCCCGACACAACTTGACATCAGATCTTTTATCGGTAGCATTGGCAAGAAAAACTATTATGGAGCAGCTAAAGCTATTCTCTCCGACAATCCGAATGGCCTAACCTGTGGTATGGTTTGTCCCACTTCTGATCTATGTGTTGGAGGCTGTAATCTTACTGCTACTGAAGAGGGCCCAGTTAATATTGGTGGTCTTCAACAATTTGCTGTTGAGGCTTTTGCTAACATGAATGTACCTCAGGTAGGCTTTCTTGTGATGTTTTATGAGCAATCTATCTGGAAATCTACAAATTCGAAATGACTGGGATGAATTTTCAAAATATTAGTCTTAGAGCACGCAATAGGTCGATTTATTTGCAATGCTGTTTGAATTATCATTATTTCACATCAAGTTTATTTTGGATTTAAGTACCGCTGTTGTTTTCAATATTTCCATGGAAGTCATATGTCAATCTGATTATTATTAGAAATATGATTATATATAGCATACTATAAGTCTCATGGGAAAATTTCAATTAATCCCTTCAAAGTACTTGCCTAAAAATTATACTTTTGAGTTGTATGGGGTCAAGGATCCAACAGAAATGCTTTAAAATGGGAGAAAAGTTCAAGTAAATGCCTGGTTCATTAGATTCAGTAGACTCCTTGCCAAATTTGATTTATCTTTAAATATAACTAGTCAATTTAGTTGTCATATTGCATTTTAATTAGACTATGGATATTCTCATCTAACTTGCGGATGTTTGATCAGTCAAAAAAAGTTTAATCGCCTCCACAATTTACAACTCTCCCCAATTTGCATTTGTGATTTTTCGTTCTCATTTTTTGGAAAAATCATTCATGTGATTATCTCCATCAGTAGCTTGAAGGAGTGATTATCGGTTGATTTGACGGCTGACAAATATGGAGGATGATGGTGAACCTCCAGTTTAATTCATTCCTTTCGAGAAGTCATTCTTGCATTGTAGGTTTGCAATTTTCCCTTTTTCTTTTCAATAAGGTTGCGCATTTATCTTTTACTTCCCGGTTTTGTCCTCCAAATTTCCGGCAATAATAAGCTTCAGCTTTCCCTGTTTCGCCTGATTTTAGCAATTCGTCACGTGAACATTCTGTGTAAAAGCTTCTAAACTCCCAGCTCTGACTTAGACGAAGGAGTGGGTGTTTGTTTGGGAGACGTTTGCGTCAATGAACTATTTCTTGCCCCTAGTAATGAGTTTGTACATAAAGGACAAAGTATTTGTCGCCACGGCTTGGAGAGTTATTGCGGAGACACCCAACTTGCTATTCCATTCAATTTACCTCTGAGTTTCAAATAAAATTGTTCAGTTCACCATTGACGTACGACTTTATCCAATACATCTCTAAGCACTCTAAGCACTTGACTAAAATTGAAGTATTGGCTGTATTAGCCCTATAGGAATTCAAGTCCTGTTCTTTCTCCTCTTTGGAGTCGGTGCTTCCTATCATTTAACACTAAAATGTCATTACTCATGGATAATGCTGGCAAATTTGTCTATTTAAAACAAAACTTAGTGTTTTGTGTCCTTCATCATATCTGGACGCAAACGGAACTCAAACACCTGTTTACGAAATGCACGATTTCTAGTTGGTAGCCCTTAAACAAAATATTAATCCAAGATTTTTTAAAAGATGGAGCACGCCGTAGCCATGGCCCTATGTTTATGTGATTTGGCACTAAATGAAATGCTGAAATCAGTTAATGACACGAGTGACCTTGGCTTGGACACACCATTGGACAGTCGGGCTATTAGGGGAAGTGCATTTCAAAAGTAAGAAACTATGTGGTGGTGCCAAACTTGTACTGATTTGTAAATTACTGATTCAGCTGTGGTTTTGAATGCATTCTAATCATCGTGCGATTGCCAGCTGAAATCTGAATATCGATATCTGCTTTCTAGATTGTTGACCCAGAGATCATTAAGAGCACAAAGAATGATCCACACTACGATACCAAAATTGCCCTAATCGGCTGTGGACCAGCAAGCATATCCTGCGCAACTTATCTAGCTCGTCTTGGTTATCGTCAGGTGCATATCTTCGAACGTTCTAAGAGTCTAGGAGGTATCAGTACCGTAGAGATTCCACAATTTCGTTTACCTGGATCAGCAGTAGCATTTGAACTGCAGCTGCTGCGCGATTTAGGTGTTCAAATCCACACTGAGAGACCGTTCTCAGCTTCGACGAAGAACCTGGAAAGCACGGAGGCTTCACGTGAAGTTTCTATTGCAAGTCTTAGAGCGGATGGTTTCAAGGCAATCTTTCTGGGTTTCGGTCTCCCAAACCCTCATTCTATTAGCGTATTTGCTGGTCTCACTCCAGAACAAGGCTACTATACCTCAAAGGACTTTCTCCCAAGAGTGTGTGCTGCTTCTAAGGGCTGTTTAGGTTGTGCTCATTCAAAGCTACCCAATCTGAAGGGCAAGAGAGTCGTAGTTCTAGGAGCTGGTGATACAGCATTTGACTGCGCTACTTCGGCTGTGCGTTGCGGAGCTAGCCGTGTAACGGTTGTTTTCCGTAAGAGTACCTCTACTATCAATCCAGTGCCTGAAGAATTGGAAGCGGCTGTACGCGAGAAATGCGATATTTTGCCCAACATGGCTCCAGATAAGGTACACTTGGGAGCAAACGGAAAAATCTGTGACCTTACTTGCGTGAGACGAGAACGAAACGAGGATGAAAAATGGTTTAGCGACCCTGAACAATCGATTAAAATCAAAACAGATGTGATTATTACGGCCTTTGGTTCAGAGCTCAATGACCCTGATGTACTTAGCGCCATGGAGGGTGTAAAACTAGCTCCAAGTGGGTTCTCAAAGGGACTTCCTGTAGTAGATCCGGAAACAATGCGCACTAACCTTTCAGACGTCTGGTGCGGCGGTGATCTCACTGGTTTCTCCCACACCAGCGTTGAAGCAACTAATGATGGAAAAACTGCGGCTTGGAACATTCATAGTACCCTTCTCAAAGAACCCGAATTACCGAAAGTTCTGCCACGTTTTACAACTCCAATTGATACAGTTGATGTGTCAGTTGATCTCTGTGGAATCAAGTTTGATAACCCCTTCGGTCTAGCTTCTGCACCTCCAACAACTTCAAGTGCAATGATTCGTCGGGCATTTGAAGCTGGTTGGGGATTCGCTGTTACAAAGACCTTCGGCTTAGACAAAGACCTAGTTACAAACGTCTCACCTAGAATTGTCCGTGGTCCTACTGGTGGCCATATGTACGGTCCAGATCAATCTGGCTTTTGTAATATTGAATTAATCTCTGAGAAGACTGCTGCATACTGGGTACAGAGCATAAAAGAGCTGAAACGTGATTTCCCCGAGAAGAGAGTTATCGCAAGTATAATGGCAAAGTTTGATGAGGCTGACTGGAAGGAGTTAACAGGAATTACCCTGGAGGGTGGTCCAGATTGTCTCGAATTGAATCTTTCGTGTCCCCACGGAATGGGTGAACGAGGTATGGGTCTGGCTTGTGGGCAAGATCCGAATCTTGTTCGAGAAATCTGCAAGTGGGTAAAAAGTGCTGTGGGAGCCCAAGGAACTCCAGTGTTCGCCAAGTTGACCCCAAATGTTACAGACATTGGTCTCATCGCAAAGGCTGCTCAAGAGGGAGGTGCTGATGGTGTGACTGTCATCAATACAGTATCCGGTATCATGCATTTCGATAGTGACTCGAGACCTTGGCCGGCTGTTGGAAAGGATAATTTAAGTACTTATGGTGGTCTTTCGGGTAATCTTATTCGGCCGATGGCTTTGCGTGCTGTTAGCTATATTGCTAGAATGCTACCTGGTTTTCCTATCCTTGCTACCGGTGGTATTGACTCCGCAGAGTCTGGATTGCAATTCCTGCAAACTGGTGCTACAGTTCTGCAAGTAACTAACGTTTTTAATGGTCTTACCATCTTGTTAAATGGGTGTTTATTCTCTCAACTTAACCGTTTTTAGGTATCGAGTGCCATTCAAAATCAAGATTTCTCAATCATTGACGATTTTGTGACCGGTCTCAAAGCAGGACTTTACTTGGATGGGCGTGAAGGTATGGCAAATTATAATTATAATATATATATATATAGATTAAGCCCACTGTTTGTATTACGATGGTTTCAATTCACTTTGTTTAAGGTGGTTTTGGGTTCTCTTTACGTCAGCGTAGCAAGGAGATTACATCGGATGCTCATTGTTTTGGTTACCGCCCGATAATTTGGTTTTTTCCAGTACTCATAAACAACACTTCGTCATATAAGGTGTGGCTTAATGAGATTTTGGGCTCCACTAATTCATGTGCATTTTCAATTCTGTTATGTTGGTTTCTGTTGAGCTAGTTGGTAACTTTTATATTATGGGATTTGTAATTTTAAGGTTTGAGGAGCTTTATATCTGGTGTTCGTAAATGTTTCGTCTATAGAAATACTTCTCGTTCCCTCGGGTAAAAGTTATCCACGCAATTAATTTAATTAATTTTTTATTACTACGAATTCACATTGAAGTAGAGCTAAGAGATGAGGCAAAATGAAACGATGATAATCTGCAAGCAACCTCCTGTTCCTATTTTAAATATCTGATGCAATGTCGTACTTCCATAGAACACTGGAACTTCCAAACTCCGGAGCTGAATGAGCACTTGCAAAAAGGCAAGCCGGTTCACATCTCAGCCCTGAATGAAAAGGATAACTATGTACCCAACTTTGGAACTGGTCGTGCTAAGAGAGAGGCTGAATTTGCGAAAGAGTGCGAAAAGACTTCTGGCACAGCATCAATCGCCATAGCAGAGCGACGATTGCAACAACGGCTGCAACGTCCAGCATTATCATCCAAAACACCATCTGTCAATAGCATTATTGGTCGAGCTCTAGACAAAGTTGTTTCATACGGACAGCTGAATAATAAAGAGCATGTAAGTTGCCTTTGGTAACTTCTCTCTTCTATATTACAAAGGACAAATTAATGAATATCCCGTAAAACCAATTGGGCTATTGTGGACGAATCAATGAAAAAATTGGGGTATAACGGAAACGATATGACTACTTACATGCCACTTTAAGTGTAGTACCGTTGCTATGCCGCGAAGTGGTCGAATATTGACGCAACTTGGCAATCCGTGTAAAGCTGGTTGGACATTGGCTTTCAATTTCAAGTTAATAGTTAGTTTATTGTTTTTGCAAATAGGGGAATTATCAATTCAATCAGAATTGAATTGAAATACATTATGGTGTTCCTGCCTCCTAATTTAGACTGATCGAATCAGGAAAACGCACACAATTTAAGATTTTATGGCAGTCTTATAAGGTCATTCCATAGTAGACTTTATTAGGAAAATTCGGAATCCATAACTTGTCATTTGAACATTGAGACCTCTTGAATGAAAAATTATCCATGTGTTACTATTGGTTAATTGTGGCATATGCTTACTTTGTGTCTTAGTGGTTAATATTCAGTGTGATTTGTAGCGGATTGCTACCTTAGTAAAGACTGACTGACTCAGAAATCTCTATGGCAGATTCTCCAACATCTAGCTGGACTCCCAGAACCAGCTAAGCTATAGCCCAGCTACAGCTGGACTCCCAGAACCAGCTAAGCTATAGCCCAGCTATGAAAGACTCCCAGAACCAGCTAAGCTATAGCCCAGCTATGAAAGGATCTCCCAGAACCAGCTAAGCTATAGCCCAGCTATAAAGAAATCAAGTCTCTATGGCAGATTCTCCAACATCTAGCTAGACTCCCGAGAAATCTATGGCAGATTCTCCAACATCTAGCTGGACTCCCAGAACCAGCTAAGCTATAGCCCAGCTATGAAAGGAAACAGACGCGTAGCACGGAGCACGTCTATTCAGGGCGTATATTGAGGATAAAAAGTACACGCAGGGGGCTTAATCATGATCAGGATGGGGGATTAGGTTAAACAGAGGTTGATGATTGGTCACTGTTTGTACGGTCGCTGCACACAGAGTTGTACGGCCGCACCTCCCAATTCTGGCGAGCAGACATGCAGGCATACGATGACGCACACAGCGATAACGTGTCCCACAGATTGGCCATTCTTATTGCATTCGAGTTAAGTTAGTGTTGCCTCTGAACCACCTTGTATTTCCTAGGCGTTTCTAAAGTATCCTGCTTAAATTAAAGTTTTTAAAGGAATTTTCTTTTTTCTTTTCTATTATTGACGTTATTGGGGGAGTTAAAACAACTGATTGTCATACATATTTATCCAAATGCTTTGAGTGGCAAAATAGTTCAGTGAGGCATTGGAGAAAGTAGTGGGAACAAAGAAAAAAGTAATAATAAATAATGATAATAATAATTTTAGCGATCTTTAAGACAAACCAGGCAATTCGAATCATTATTGGCGTTTTCTTCCTTGCAGGTTGTAGCAGAGGTCCAGTCAGAATCTTGCATTAATTGCGGAAAGTGTTACATGACATGCAATGACACTGGGTATCAGGCAATTGATTTTGACACTATAACTCATCTTCCAACTGTTCGAGAGGCTGATTGTACTGGTTGCACGCTCTGTTTCTCAGTTTGTCCAGTCCCTGACGCTATTCGTATGGTCGAACGCACCACTGCGTATGTGCCCAAACGTGGAATCCCTCCTGCAAATCAAGGACATAAAACTCAAGAAAATAAGACTACCTAAATCTAAAAAATTTAGTTCAATTGGCCTTCTATTATAAAGATGATTGTCTACCCTCTTTTGGAAATATTAGCTGTGTTTCGTTTTTGGAATAAATTGAAAGTTTTGATTAGCTAGGTCTACTATTATTATTGTTGATTTTCATTACAAACTAAGAATATTGGAATTGTAGATTAGTTCAATAGTCAGTGAGTAAATTATTCACAAATTGGCGACTCGATGTGATAAAGTGCTAGATTAATGGCATATCTAACGCACATTTTTTGAAATTTATGCGAAGACTGCTTTTAGGAAATAATAGACATGCTGAATAAATATACCCAAAATAAATCTGACGTTTTATTGAATTTGTTTAGATTTGGATGAATATGCAAGGAACTGAGGAACCGCAAAAAATCTTGTCTGGCCAAGTATTTAATAGTATGCACGAAAATTTAACGCTGAATTAAGGGCTTTACAGACATACATTAGTTTCTTGAAGAATAATCGGCTTCAGGAGATTTTATTAAAAGATATTATTATACTTTAACGAACAAGTGGGGGAGAGAGAAAAAATAGACTTGGCCAAATTATGATCATGTCGACCAAAGCTATTTACCAAAATGTGTCAGAGTTCACCACGACCCTCTGCAAGATAATTGTGTAAATTTTGAATCGGAACTGTAACAATTGTATAGTTTATAATCTCGGGAATATTTAAAAGAAAATTCTCATCAAAAAATGATAAGTGATAACAATTAAGCCAATAAATACGTTTTGAAATTATATTTCAGAAATATTAATCTGCTAAAAGAAACATCGAGAGATCAGTCTTAGATAGGAGTTGATCGTCGGTTTAAACGCACAGTATTTGGTCTACTGTCCTTAACATAAAATATTGATACTTTGCAAAAATAAATCAAATAGATCTGCGTGCATAGGCAAAATAATGACCAAATCTACAATTTACTTTTCAGGTGAAGGATCATTAAATTTTAGCACTTTCTCCTTGGCCGCATGAAAAAATGATTGAATAAATGCGCTGTGAAGACTAAAGCAAATAGAGGATACTGATGCTATAAATGCTCGATAAAAAATTTATTATGTTTTATTGACATACGGAGAATGGTGAATACAACTAACTAGAATTCTATACAAGATGGAAATTTTCTATCGCAAATTAATTTTCAAAAATAAAAGAAAAAATCTTTGAGAGTGAATATTTTGATGATTCAAAAGCACGACCTTAATCAAATAACAGATTTTAATGAAAATCATAACAGTTTATCTAAGATTGTTATTACGACGTTACTAAAAAATTAATATTAAATGGGATATTATTCTCTAAAATTTTAACATTTGAAAATAAATAAAAATAATACAGCACCCAGGTAGAATAAATTCGTCATAATAAGAAAAACTTAAAATATCTGTGTTTAAAGGTACCTTATATTAAGAGTGGGCAGTTTAGGTCACTTTTATGCGCTTACATCGTGTTTCTTGGCTTCTGACGCTCCAACAATATGAGGATTTTTCATTGCTGGTTTTGCTCAAGTCCCATTTATCCGGGCCATGGAATGGTATTCGTGAGAAATGATTGCAAGGTTAGGTGAAAAGACTTTGAATAATTTTTCTTAGGAATTTCGTTTCTGTCGCGCGAAGTG